TACCAGACAAATTCTTGACTGACGTCATCAAATCTTGTCATGATCCTCCTAATATGGGACATTACGGTCACGACAGAACTCTTAAACGCTTTGCACTAAATTTTTATCATCCTGATGAGAAAGCATGCAGTAGCGTTCCAGCTTAATTCTCATTACCTACCAGCTGTCATTATTTACCCTTTGCATCCAATTAGCAACTACTAAGAAGCGAATTAAGTTGATTGATCGGACTGCGTCGTGCGGTACAGTTCAAGCACTGGCAAGATGATGAAGTTATGCTTCGATGAAACGTTTAGTGCTGTACATTCATTACACTCGGGGCTATATGCTGCCGCGTTTGGTGGTGTAAAGCACAGAATACTTAAAACCAAATAAATGTTGTGGGCCGGTTACTGACGGTAAATGGCTAATAACGTGGTAGCTCACAAGGTCGCTCGATGCCCACGAAGCATGCAAAACTACCGACATCTGAGATCTTTTTGGTAGATAAATAGATACAAATCCTGAAAGTAGTATAGTATAGCGGTGTCAGCGTTAATTAGGCCGTTAGATATGTCACCGATCATTAACATCGCAGAACATTCACTGCTTTTTGTCGTCCCGAACACTCAACATACTGCTCCAATTTTAAAACTCGCTAAGTGAGCGTAAGTACTTACGCTCTATTTTCTTGTCTATGATTGGTGGATTCTGCTTGAAAGGCCGTCAATGATTGGCCGATGAACTTAAGATCTCTCAACTTTTTTCGAAGGTATAGGATAGGCCCAGGCCACCTCGCTGATGACCAGAACAGTCGCAGGTAGTTGGGATTGGACCCACAACTCCCTGCTCCAGTCTTGTTACTTTGAATGGCAAGCACTGGGCCATCATCCTATTTGTTTCGCACCGCAAGCGTCTTTTGATTTGTACTCAGCGTTCTTGTAACACAAGAATTTTCCTTCTCTGAACCTTAATCCCGGTGCCTCGCCTAGGAAGATAATCATCCGGAGTTCGCGATAAGCGGTAATAATTTTAATCAGAGCAAAGGAGATATTGTTGACGAAATTCGTCGCGGTTTACTTGAGTTAGTATTTAATACATTAACGTGTTTTAATATATTAACACTGGTTTATAATATAATTACAGATACTATAGATGATCAAGTTAACTTGCACGTTACATTGTCATATACTCTTGTCAACATTCCAGAGCGGCGAGCGCCATAAAAATTCTCTTCTTAGTTTAGTTCTGCCAATATTGGCCCAGGCACGAATTTAGGCAAGGACTTTACCACAGAGTTAGGATTTATCGTAACCACTATATATGCAACTTCGACGCTGTGAAGGAACGGGAGATTTAGCTACACTTGTTATTTCATACCGAACTTGTAGACAGACGCCTCTTGAGACAAATCAGCCATTAATGTGAGAATTGTGAGGTTAAAAGCGGTTTGAACATAACTTAGGAATCATAATTAGGAAAGATAGACACGCGAGTGCGGAACTAACAGCCAAGCTTCACTGTCACAACGCTTTAGTGGAGAAAGCCACGATCTTAGACGCACTTTTCCGCATTGATGCTAGGGTGTGCTAGAGAAAGTGAGTCGTGTAACACTGACACACGCAGTTATGTAACGAAAGATGCAACACTGATCTATTAACAGCTGGTGCTTAACTGTTCAGTCGTAAAATGCCTAGCAAATTACGGACCAGGCAATAAGACCAGCAGCTATCTCAATCAATCGTCAAGTTATGGAAAGATCGGGTTCCAAAGGCCGGATTCCTTGTGAATCAAGTCACGAAAAGTTCAAGAACCGGCAACAGGCCATGGGCCTATTTCTTCAGTGCCGACACTTCTATTCTATTCTATTTACGAAGATCTTATGGTGCGCATCAGCAGGGCGAACAAGATCATCTTAATATGCAAGAACACAAGCAAGTTCCAAGGAAGGTTAATAATAAAATAAGATATGACGCTCGTTTAAAATAAAATCTCTCCATAAAATAAACTAGCACATCCAGTTGTCAGCAAGGACATCATCCACAAGTAAGCCTAGTTTCAGGTGCTTAGACTGTAACACTTCAATTCCAAGTGCTCAATAATGGCAAGTTCTATGCTGAAGTGCGGAGAAAACTGCAGCTACAACTAAAATAAGCTCACTAATTAAATGGAATGAACATATTAATGAAAACATTTCCACATATTAAACAAAATTAAAATCGTTTAGAGTAGGCGACGATTTGGTGTCATGAAAGACGTACTAGAGCCTATGACTTGATATATTGCCTAGATTTCTTTAAGATACCAATTAAGCAGTAATAAGCGAATACTTTGGTAATAAGCGTATTCGTATACAGGCAACGAGGGAACTTATCACTCGACATGATATTTTCCTCTGTCTTAAATATCAAACTTTTCTAAGAGCTACATTAATCTTGTTCCTAAATGCGTCCCTATCACAGTCAGGAATGAATTAGATTGATTTATAATCTGTAAGTAACTTCATAATGAAGTATTTAAGAACATTGGTCTTTTACATGATATAAAAACACTTAAAATATATAAATCAACACAAGATATAAAATCAACACAACTCAGTTAAAACGATCATCTATTTTGTCTACTAGTTAGCTCTAGAGTTAAAGCCCCTAGTATAATGCCACTGCACCAAGCACTTATATTCGAGTGGAAAATGACCTAAAGGACTAAAGTGGGTGCGTTCGTAAGGCACTCTGAGGCGTAAACTCTCGTGTTCATATCAATATGACATACGTTATGTGATTGCGTGGACGGACACATCCATTACGTGGGTAACACACCATAACAGTAATACACTCTGTCAAACTTACAGTTAAGACAATGATCGTGGTATAGAACGAATACGGCCACAGGCGATGTCGGTATAACGGAGTCAATACTATAAAACGATACCTATAACAGTGGTGTCTAGGGAACTTTTTTATACATTGATTGCAGAAAATTGAATTATCAACTCGGAAAGAATGCATTTTTAGAAGTTCAGAAAAGAAGATTCAAGCAAACTGTTGCAATTCAGTGTGTTTCAACAGCCAAGGCACATAGGAGGTCAACAGAAGACTTCGCCCGCCAGAAGCTGGTCAAAACCGTCCGCGTTCTTGTGTCGGTATTAAACAATGATTTCTTCTCATGTACTACATTGGTGGAGAAATGTGGTCCAGAATACTGCCATGATTCTTAAAATTAAGTCTTTTCACCGAAAAACATTGCAATATTAAGCTTAAGCTAGGAAAGGGATTACGAAGCTCGGCCTCGCATCATCACGCGCTAATATCTGCAATGAGCGAATTTCTAGCGGTTAATCGGATAGAATTCCTCGCAATTTAATAAGTAGTAGTAGTGGAATGGTTTGCTATCGCTTCAGCTATCAAGCTTTTTCGCACCGGAGGTCAAAATGTAACATCGCAAGCGAGGCTGAAGGTCTCAATTATTCAATATCTCAAATTATTCATCACCCACAAGGAGCGGAAGGTCTCATTTGTACAGCCCGCTGAAGCTGGCTCGAGAGAAGCAGCGTTAGCATCTCAAAGAGACGAAGTGACAAGGAGGGACAGGTGAAAAGCAACAGAAACGAAGACACTCGAACAAGAGGTCGCTTACACGGGACGTCGGCCGCCCGCACGAGAGAGACAGAGAAGGGAAATNAAGGCCTATCCATTATACCAAGGCCTATCCATTATACCAAGGCCTATCCATTATACCAAGGCCTATCCATTATACCAAGGCCTATCCATTATACCAAGGCCTATCCATTATACCAAGGCCTATCCATTATACCAAGGCCTATCCATTATACCAAGGCCTATCCATTATACCAAGGCCTATCCATTATACCAAGGCCTATCCATTATACCAAGGCCTATCCATTATACCAAGGCCTATCCATTATACCAAGGCCTATCCATTATACCAAGGCCTATCCATTATACCAAGGCCTATCCATTATACCAAGGCCTATCCATTATACCAAGGCCTATCCATTATACCAAGGCCTATCCATTATACCAAGGCCTATCCATTATACCAAGGCCTATCCATTATACCAAGGCCTATCCATTATACCAAGGCCTATCCATTATACCAAGGCCTATCCATTATACCAAGGCCTATCCATTATACCAAGGCCTATCCATTATACCAAGGCCTATCCATTATACCAAGGCCTATCCATTATACCAAGGCCTATCCATTATACCAAGGCCTATCCATTATACCAAGGCCTATCCATTATACCAAGGCCTATCCATTATACCAAGGCCTATCCATTATACCAAGGCCTATCCATTATACCAAGGCCTATCCATTATACAAAGACCTACCTATCAATTATACAAAGGTTTATCCATTATTAAAAGGCCTATTCATTGCACAGAGGACTATTCATTAGCGAGGTTTGTTAATCAGCTAAAATAAAATGTAAGCTTAACGCCATGCAATGGCGCAATCTTCAGTAGGGTTGAGCATTTTTACTAACGCTGCAGAGGGGCTGAAGTGGGGGTACGAAAAAAACGAAGGAGTGTTTTGGTGAAAGAAAAAATGGACTTGCGCTACGGCTGTCACATCACTAGTTAAAAGCAATAAATTTATCTATCCATGATCTCTAACTTACAAAGCAATGTAATAAACGAAAAAAAAAACAACGTTAGCGTTTAAAAGGGTTAAAATTCTAGAATTAATTGACGCTAAAAAATAAGAAATAAATAATAGAGGTCAATGGAGCGGTACATAACAAATGAATCAGACCACTGCACGGGAATAAATAATGAGATGAATGGGGCAGCTCAAGAACAATGCCCCATGGGACGCCCCGATGGGCCGATGGGATCCCCATAGGCCAGGGCTAAGGCGCTACGTAATGCAATACAAATGCAAAATACCGACCAACTTAATTAATTAAGTACAGGTTTGCTTCGCAGGTCAGAGAAGCATGCCTGTAAGGTATCAGGGTGACAAATTCATGCTCGACCAATCCACAATAGAAATTGTCACACACAAGTGACGGGTGTGCGTCGTGTCTCAGGTATCCAGCGGGTGTGGATGCTACTATGGATGCCAGATATCCAGCGGGTGTGGATGCTATTATGGATGCTGCTGCAGCCGACGACGTCGGGTGGATGCGCAGAGGTGAAAAGCGTCGGCTGCTGAGTCCGCTACTCAGGACAGGGCCAATCAGCTGTTGAAAATAATCGTATGAGTCATCATAGTTTGATGCGAGTATAATAGTGATGGGAGAAATAATGATAATGTAATGGAAATAGTGATGGGAGAAGTGCTGCAAAGCAAAATAGTGATGGGAGAAGTGCTGATAATGTAATAGGGGTAGAATAAGGAATTTAAAAGCAAAGAAAACACCAAGCAAATTCACCATATCGATATTGAAAACGTTTCGGAGTCCAGCTCCATCGTCAGTTCGAAAAAGTAAAAATGAATTTGCTTGGTGTTTTCATTGCTTTTAAATTCCTTGTGAACTTGCGATATAAGCAGACTGATAATATAAGGAGTAGAATAGTGATGGGAGAACTAGTGATAATGGTATGGATAAAAAAACGCATATGTAATAATATCAACTATGCTTCATCGTGGAACAACCACAATGTTATACATCAATGTTTTAACATCGTGGAAAAGCCACGAGTCAAAGGTATGAAACTAGACGTTCTTATACTAAACTAAACAGAATTGCTAAATTATATCCATGATTCAATAGCAAAAACTCTTATGTTACGCAGAATTATACCGGTATCTCAAATAAATTTATTTTTCTTCAGTAATTTTGCAATAAACTGTTGCGGTATGACAAACTGATGGTGATGGTAGGTGCTACTGATGGTGATGGTAGGTGCTACTGATGGTGATGATAGGAGCTAAAACTAAAATAATGAACGGCAGAGGCACAGTACGAGGCCGGGATAATTCATTACTACACACGAGATCAAATTGGATAGAGAGAGCCACAACGAAACGGAATAAAGAACCATTAATTTACAACGATGTTCATAATAAAGCGTTAATAAATAATAAAATGAAACGTTTACAAATGTAATTTTAATAGAAAAATGAACGCTGTTGGTCGAAATAATAATTGGTTAGCATCTTCAGCAGTAATCTTAAACATTAATAAGGTAAAGGTATTTGAACATTAATTAGGTAAANGATATGGTATATGGATATGGTATATGGATATGGTATATGGAAATGGTATATGGTATATGGATATGGTATATGATATATGGATATGGTATATGATATATGGTATATGGATATGGTATATGATATATGGATATGGTATATGGATATGGTATATGGATATGGATATGGTATATGGATATGGTATATGGATATGGTATATGGATATGATATATGGATATGGTATATGATATATGGTATATGGATATGGATATGGTATATGGATATGGTATATGGTATATGGATATGGTATATATTATATGGTATATGGTATACAGCAGCAGGTAATATCTTCAGAAAACATGAGGAAAATAAAGTAACATATAAATTCGACCAACAAAAAAGGGAGGAATAGAAGAAGCAACATTGAGGCAGCAACCAACATCATTGAGCTGCTACAGGAGTTGTATAACGCAACTGCTGTATATAACTAATTTTGGGATAGTCATTTTCATTTATATGTATACTAATCAAAACAAATAAAACAAGGCAAGGTGTAAAATGTAAATCTTGAAGGTAAATCGTTCTAAAAATGAAAAATGAAGGAAATTTATGAAAGTTATTATACCACAATTTATACCACAACCAACACTGGCAACACATCACTGGAGATTTAATACTCTACAATAATGATATGTATTATCTATTAATGGGTTAACTAGCGGCAGAGCAGATTGTTCAGCCAAGACTTTAAGACTCGAGTGCAGAGAATAACAATAATTGTTCAGTAGAGAAGAGAGGACAGATGAAGCAATTAAAAAACTATAACAAGTGCGAGTCTCAAAAAATCCTGTACAACGAGCCGATTCTTCATTAAGGAATTCGCAGGTTTACATCAGTTGGCATTTGGCATTGAATATTTGAAGATATAGTATATACTTCTTATATTTTGTGTTGTATTTCGTGGCATTGAATAATTGAAGATATGTATATACTTGTTATATTTTGTGTTGTATCTCTCTACATCTCTGCCATTGATACGTAGCTCTCGCGTTAAGTTAATAAGATTAATGCTCAGGTTAATTGGTTAATGGTTCAGAAAGTCGATCCCTCAGTAGCACTTGGTTTAGTCATGGAGCTACGGTGTGTTTATAATCTCAGTTCTACATTTAAAAAAATTGGTTCGAAAGCTGATTATAATTGCAAACACGAACACGTCGACTTTCTTCGGTACAAAAAGATGTAGAGAATAAATTTATCATTATTTCAATATTATTTTAGGTTCGATTTGGAAATTTCTGCGTTTTTCACTGTTACTTTATAAAATTTTTTAGAGTAAACTTAAATAAATAAAATACAATTGAAACAGTCTGGAGGAAACGCGAGTTTCCTTCAAATATCTTTCGGTTCTGGAAATTGATGCGCCTCCAGTCAAATGACGTTGCAACAATGTTGATAACGAGTTGATTTTGTTGAAACAATGTTGATTTTGTTGCAACAATGTTGATAACGAGTTGATTTTGTTGCAACAATGTTGATAACGAGTTGATTTTGTTGCAACACGTTGATAACGAGTTGATTTTGTTGCAACACGTTGATAACGAGTTGATTTTGTTGCAACACGTTGATAACGAGTTGATTTTGTTGCAACACGTTGATAACGAGTTGATTTTGTTGCAACACGTTGATAACGAGTTGATTTTGTTGCAACACGTTGATAACGAGTTGATTTTGTTGCAACACGTTGATAACGAGTTGATTTTGTTGCAACACGTTGATAACGAGTTGATTTTGTTGCAACACGTTGATAACGAGTTGATTTTGTTGCAACACGTTGATAACGAGTTGATTTTGTTGCAACACGTTGATAACGAGTTGATTTTGTTGCAACACGTTGATAACGAGTTGATTTTGTTGCAACACGTTGATAACGAGTTGATTTTGTTGCAACACGTTGATAACGAGTTGATTTTGTTGCAACACGTTGATAACGAGTTGATTTTGTTGCAACACGTTGATAACGAGTTGATTTTGTTGCAACACGTTGATAACGAGTTGATTTTGTTGCAACACGTTGATAACGAGTTGATTTTGTTGCAACACGTTGATAACGAGTTGATTTTGTTGCAACACGTTGATAACGAGTTGATTTTGTTGCAACACGTTGATAACGAGTTGATTTTGTTGCAACACGTTGATAACGAGTTGATTTTGTTGCAACACGTTGATAACGAGTTGATTTTGTTGCAACACGTTGATAANGGAGAGGAAGCCTCCATACCTTGGGGTTGTAGAGGAAGCCTCCATACCTTGGGGTTGTAGAGGAAGCCTCCATACCTTGGGGTTGTAGAGGAAGCCTCCATACCTTGGGGTTGTAGAGGAAGCCTCCATACCTTGGGGTTGTAGAGGAAGCCTCCATACCTTGGGGTTGGACAGGAAGCCTCCATACCTTGGGGTTGGACAGGAAGCCTCCATACCTTGGGGTTGGACAGGAAGCCATCATACCTTGGGGTTGTAGAGGAAGCCATCATACCTTGGGGTTGGACAGGAAGCCTCCATACCTTGGGGTTGGACAGGAAGCCCAGCTGTGCCGTGATGTTGTCCCCGGCGATGAGGCGCTCAGGGTTGGCGCGCACGGTCGACACGATGACGACGCGCCGCTCGTCGCCCTGGAAGACCTCGGGCGTGCCGATACGCAGGGCGCTTGTCACGCGACCAAGACGAGCATCTAGAGCGTCTCGGATCTGAAATACGCTCAGAATGTAGTGACTATTTTCTCAAACATTAAAGGAAATTCTCATAAATTTCCGTGAGTTAATTGCATGTAACACAATGCAAAAATACAATACAAATAAAGTCAACAAAAATGACGCAGGGCGCTTGTCGCGCGACCGAGACGAGCATCTAGAGCGTCTCGGATCTCAAATACGCACAGAATGTAGTGCATGCGTGTGTAAAAGTTATATTAGTTGTTCATGACAGAATAAATGTGCCAGACATTTGTCTTGAAGGATGATTGACTTGTATGCTTGAGCGGTCCCACTAAACCCTGTTCAATAAATAATAGAATGCGTAGCACCAGCATTCTTTAGAACTCATATCATTTATAATTTCGCTTTCTACTCTTCTACCATGCTAATTATAAACACTCATGTACACCAATGAACAAAGTAACCCATCACGTATTTCAACAGACCCGTATCAAGCTACACACTCGTTACCATTTAAAAACACACCTTTTGGCTCAAAATTCACCTTCTTCGTTTCAACAGACCCGTTTCAAGCGTTATCCATTAAAAAACACACACATTTTGGCTCAAACTTCACCTTCTTCATTTCAACAGACCCGTTTCAAGCGTTACCCATTTAAAAACTCTTTTTGGCTCAAACTTCACCTTCGTTTCAACAGACCCGTTTCAAGCGTTACCCATTTAAAAACTCTTTTTGGCTCAAACTTCACCTTCTTCATTTCAACAGACCCGTTTCAAGCGTTACCCATTTAAAAACACACATTTTGGCTCAAACTTCACCTTCCTCATTTGCTCTCGGTATGGCGTGACGATGCCAATGTCTTCAGGCTTGACGCGCATCTCGCGCATGAGTCGCCTCACGTACTGCACAACTCGAGCGACTTCGAAGACATTAAAGAAGCTGGGATTGTTGGCCCTCCTTTCCTCCCTGCCGTTGACGAAGTGGAAAACGATGGGTATGTCAGGATTTGGAAGCCTGCTTTTCTTATTTGCAAGCTTATTCCAGTTCAGCATCGAGTTGAGCACGTTACGATCACCTCTGGCAACAAGTTGGTCTTCATAGAAGAGTTTGTTAGGGATTTCAAGGATGCGAGCATGAGAGCGATAGTTATTCACGAGCTTCGTGATGTACTGATGGTTATAATGGCCCGCGTTGGATTTGTACATGGGCAAGGCCATGAGACGCTCTAGCAGACTTTGGTCCATGCGGAAACCTTTTTGTAAATCTTTTTTTGGTCCTTTGAACAATGAAATCTTGAGGGCGTTCATATTTGTGACGACAGGTCCGAGCTGGCAAGGATCACCTGCAAGTACAACCATCTTAGGAAAGGCCAGCAAAGGGATAAGTGCTTCAGGCTCCACAGTGTACCCACACTCGTCGAGAAACACGTGCGTATACGCACATTCCGTTGACTTCTCGCGCATTAGCGGCAAGACGCGGTACGCCGTCGAGTATGTAGCGATGACGATGTTGTACGAGCGCAGCATGTCCATGGTCGGAATGGTACTAAAGTTGCCCTCATGAGAGCTCACTTTCCAAACCTTGTCAGAGATGCCAGCGCGACCGCGAGACCGAGCGTTCACTCGCAGTATTTTGTTTGCGCTGATGTGTTTCAGGAGTCCTTCTGTGAGAATATCACAGCTAGCGTTGGACGGACCACACACCAGAATGTTGTCGTTGACGTTCTGCTTGTAGACTTGCTTGATGGCCTCGACCATCGTTGACGTTTTCCCGGTGCCAGGAGGCCCGAAAATAATGTAGGGGGCGGGAGCGCTCACACGGTTCACGATCGCCTCTACGGCCTGGCGCTGCATCTTGTTCTGGCCCACGCGGGGATCGCAAAATTCGATTTTTTTCAATTTCCCTTCATTTATCCTGTAGTTGGAAGAAAGGCCAAAATATAAACCATAATCAAATAATTTCAAGTCAGGAGCCACCACAAATGATTACGTTGATTTTTAAATCAATAAAAACGTGCGCCTGCTAAAATTATGCTTTATCATTAGGGTAGAATAAAACGGACCGCTAATAAAACGTTACGTTAAAATCTAACACGCAATCAAAAGAAATGCAAAATAAAATTTGTAAATTAATTTAGACAGCCTGATTCTTTGTAGAGTCAAGCAACACAAGTCAAAATAATGAGCGTGAACTTACGTAAGACTGGGTGTCGGAAACAGAATACGAAGAATCTTGCTGGCGTGTTGGAGCGCGGCGTGGCACCGGATGAAGTTGCTCCTACTGAACCAAAACTGAACATTTACCTTCATGCCCGTCCTGTACTTGAAGAGGAACTCGTCACCGAAGCCGAGATGAAGCGTTTCATCAATGAAAACGACATCATGAACGATGCCCTCGTATGGCACAGACGGCACCTCGCTGGGCAGTCTTACGAAGACCGAGTCTCCGGTCAGAATAGCGGGGTGCTTCTCTGCTACTCCAGGAACATGCAAAGTGGCTATACGATCGGTTTCATTAATGATCATTGTCACTCCGTCCAGGTGGAAATGCTGAAGGTTAATTTCCCTTTCAATTTCTTCGATCCAGAGCTGAATTTCGAACCATTCGTGATAGTTTTCTTTTCTGAGACCACGTCTTCCAAATTCCTTGAGTTTTGATAATTCACGCTTGAGAAGGTCATCGGAAATAAATTTTTCATTGAAGTTCACTACGACCAACTCTCGAAGATATTCAGGGTAGGGGTACAAAAATTTGAATTCAGCTGAAGGAGTGCCGCCCTCCATGACTCTGCCAGGCAGATAAAGCTTCGGTGTTGGTACTGAAGGAGCTTTCCGGCGCTTTTCGATCTGAGAAAAATGTTAACAGCTCTCGATATATCTTAAACAATTATTAAGCGTTAAAAAGTACAAAGAAGACGCAGGTTTTTCCGATATCGTCCTCCGATTGACAAAGAATTGTGCAGTAAGTTCAAAAATGCATTTAATACGCCACAAACCACGAAGTAGACTCTCGTAGACCATAAGTAGACGCAAACTACGCAGGAGATGAAGAAAATCTCTTCGCAACACACCACTGTAACGGTGGTATGACTCACGTCTCAATACGTTAATTTCGCAAGAACCTTAATAAATAAACACTCATTTATCTCAAAATCAAACATCTATTGTGGTTCAAGGAACAAAATGTTATTCAATACATTTAAATTCATCTTTATAAATTTAAACTTTTTAGTCAGGCACCTAACGCATTAATTGGAAAAAATGTAAGGATGGTGACTGTAAGAAGATTACGTTGATAATTAACAACATGATAATGTTATGCTGATTATACATGGCTGATGTTATGTTGATCATGCATGGCTGATGTTATGTTGATCATGCATGGCTGATGTTACGCAGATCATGCATGGCTGATGTTACGCAGATCATGCATGGCTGATGTTATGTTGATCATGCATGGCTGATGTTATGTTGATCATGCATGGCTGATAAAGGTATATATTGATGATGCAGTTGCCACAACAGCGCAGATAATGGGATAGCTACCTATACAAGTTATGTCGATCATGGTTGACTCGAGTTACGTAGATAATGGTATTGTTTATTAAGTTACGCAGACCACATCACCGCTGCAGCAATACAGCAGTGTGGGACCAACACCTGCAGCACAACACCTGCAGCAGACGCTCACCTTGGACTCCTCGTCAGTGCTGAGGACCTCAGCAGGCACGCTGAGCACGTCCTCCGTCAGGTAGTCGATGCACTGAAAAACAAACGCCTTCACTAACGGCGCTCCAAGCGTCAGATCAACAAAATTAGCTTAGAACGCTGGAGCTGGCCGGCAACAACAAAGTCCTTGGACACCCATCACCTGACATAAGCAGCACAGAAACACAGCTCTCTAGACTGGAGAAAGTAACATAACATAACATAACATAACATATTGATCTCGGCGCTGAAGTGTAGGCCTGATGTGGCCTGTCGCCGATTCTTGTACTTTTTGTGCCTTGTTCACAGAAGATCTAATATCGTTTCAATTCACCTAGCCTGGCTACGCTGCGGCCACCACCCTTCACTACAAACATACGCAAACAGAATAGGCCAAGCAGACACAGACACCTGCCCATCCTGCCAGAGAGCTCCCCACACAATCACTCACATTCTCCTGGATTGTCCGCTCTGGCAGGACCTCAGACAACACCACCACAAAACCTCGACCCTACAGCTCTGGAGCGACCCCCTGTCGGTGGTGTCGTACTTGCGCGAGGGGGTCTCTTATAAAAATGAGACCGGGGAACCACAACAACAACAACAAAATTAACTCTCATCATCTACTAAGAAACTCAACTACTAACTAACTTGTAAATAGTCAGATAAATGCTTACCTATATTATAAATGTCACCCTTAATCTATTTTGCACCAAGTATCGTAAGAAACATCTTCAATACAATAGAAGAGTGAAGAATGAATAAATCTATGCTATCTTCACTTTACTCTTATAGAATTTCCATATCAATTTAGTTTTAATGGTAAAGTGATAGTTTATATATTGCCGTGACGACGTATGCGTTTCCAACATCTTTCGTCCTTCAATCAGTTTCACCAATCAACGATGGTGTCGGGAATACATTAAAACTGTGAACATTCTTCATTACCTAAACTTTTTTGAACCTCGTGACTAAACCGCTAACACTAGACCACCTACATTATCATTCTAGTCTATAGGAAATATTCACTAGGTATGAATTCTAAAGTGCCATACAGGAATAGGACAACTCAAACCCTTAGTACGTTACTCCAGATATTATAGAATTCCTCGAGTCCAACATTGATCAATGGGTTAACAAATTGTTGACATTAACAAATACATGAGTAAACATGCTAATATTTCAGTTTGAGAAGTATAGTGACTCACGAGTAAGAACATCTGGTGCTCTATCTCCCGGTCTTTTAGTGAGTTACACATTACATTAACAAATACATACATTAACAAATACATACATTAACAAATACATACATTAACAAATACATACATTAACAAATACATACATTAACAAATACATACATTAACAAATGCACGAGTAATCCTGCTCATATCTCAGGTTGAGAAGTAATTACTCACGAGTAAGAACATCTGGTGCTCTATCTCCCGGTCTTTGCCCGAGCAGCGGAACTGCAGGAACACAGGCACCTCATAGCAGCCTTTGCCAGGCTGAACAGCGGAGAACTCGATGCAGTATTCAGCATCTGTACATAACATTACACTCATCACAAGTTCAGCATCTGTAGGTCGTAACATAACATTACATTCATCACAAGTTCAGCATCTGTAGGTCGGAACATAACATTACACTCATCACAAGTTCAGCATCTGTAGGTCGTAACATAACATTACATTCATCACAAGTTCAGCATCTGTAGGTCGTAACATAACATTACACTCATCACAAGATTTTATAATCCTTTATCGTGACAAGCGAGACTCGCATTGCCCGCCTACATAACAACCAACTCGAGAAATTTATTTCCAGCTGAGTCCAAAGAAATGCAAAATATTCAGAAAATATTTCCCTGACTAAATACAGAAGTAAACCATATGCCCAGTTAAAATTCATAGGCAGACGCAACCCAGTTAAAATTCATAGGCAGACGCAACCCAGTTAAAATTCATAGGCAGACGCAACCCAGTTAAAATTCATAGGCAGACGCAATAACCACAGATAGTTACCAGGTTCAAGTTCAATTTTTACTATAGAAGAGCAAAGTCCGTGGTGGTCTTTGAGTATCAAGTTGCTGCAGGAGTGCAGTTTTTCGAAGAGCTCGAGCCTGAGGTTGCCTCGAGTCACGTTCTTGATTTTGATGTTGACTTGAGGCGCATTATCTGCAGTGGGAAATTACATATATCAAAATTTAGATGAACACAACATTGTTTTCAACAAGACAACAAAACCGAGAAACCTGCAATTCGAACAAATAGAATATCCCCTACGAAAATGAATGAGGGAATCTGGTAGTCTTATCTCACATTAACCAATATAGTCCGGTACGTGATCATATGGAAAGAATGAACACTGAATACTGATTAATAATAGGCTATGATAAGGAAATGATTATTTATATTATAAATAATAATAATTTATTTTAATTGTTAAGAATCAACTCGCATATGCCAAAGGAAAGCTACGAACCGTTTAATTAAGTGCAAGTAAGACGCCGATGGGTTTAAATTTCGCATTATGTACCATTAGTGAAGTCTTTAGGTGATGTATTCCCAAAAGTGAAAAGCTTCAAGCCTTTTGAGTTACTTATCAGTGCAACACCCTACGTCCAAAGTCAGGTGATGTCTTCCTAGAAAAGAAAACTTCAAGCCTTTTTAGTTACTTATCAGTGTAACACCCTACGTCCAAAGTCAGGTGATGTCTTCCTAGAAAAGAAAACTTCAAGCCTTTTTAGTTACTTATCAGTGTAACACCCTACGTCCAAAGTCAGGTGATGTCTTCCTAGAAAAGAAAACTTCAAGCCTTTAGAGTTACTTATCAGTGTAATACCCTACGTCCAATGTCAGGCGATGTCTTCCGAGACAAGAAAACTTCAAGCCTTTTGAATTAATTATCAGCTTCAAACCGCCAACATTCAAACCGAAAACGAAAACCTGAGCACGAGAAAGTTTTTTTTTAAATGACGTATTTAAAAAAATATAACTAAGCTCACGTGGAGCTTAGGAACTGAGTGCTGGTCTAGCATATGTTGACAGGCAGTTGTGACGTGTACATGCCAGGCAGTTGTGACGTGTACACATGCCAGGCAGTTGTGACGTGTACACATGCCAGGCAGTTGTGACGTGTACACATGCCAGGCAGTTGTGACATGTACACATGCCAGGCAGTTGTGACGTGTACAGTTCTGACGCATGACACGCGTAAATGTTATCGTGCATTAATCTTCTTGATAAAGATAAGGTTCAGAGAATCGCTCGCAAATGTTCTTTATATTACAGATAAGCGCTCAATATATTATACATTTAAACAGTCATTGCACGAGTTTATGGCAAGTCTTCTGAACTGATAAGGACGCTCTGCTATCTCGACTATCTGGTCAATAAGGCTGTCATCACCATATCAGTCTTATCATTATTATCTGCTGTCATCATGATAATAATGGTTGATGCAGGCTGTACAACGAGACGCGAGTTTCCTATAAATAAACTTTATTATGTATCTAATACTTATTTCCTATAATAATAATATACCTATAATAATAGGTACAGGTAATATAGGTATTATATACCTATAATAATAATGTATCTAATACTTATTAATACTTATACCTATAACCTGGAAGCAAGCTAATTGATTAAGTTATAAGGCGTCAATGGATGGTTTCATCTTAAATCAGAATACCTACATCACCAGAAAAATAATCTAGCATAACAAAAAATAACCTAGCACAACAAAAAATAACCTAGCACAACAAAAAATAACCTAGCACAACAAAAATCCACTCATGACGACTCGAGTATATGCGAAGAGACAATTCTTTGACCCGATAGATTTCTGGCGTCAACTAACATCGCCTGAACCTGTATATATACATGTAAAAACTAAGTGTTGAGTTGCGGGATTAGAAGACTCAGATCGGAAAACCTACTATAATGATATAGATTTATCATAAAAAAGAATAAGTAGGAGAAACCTACTTAAAAATATAGCATTATCATAAGGAAGACTAAGTAGGAGAAACTTACTTAAGAAGACAGTATTATCATAAGGAAGACTAAGTAGGAGAAACTTACTTAGGAAAACACTATTATCATATAACCTACCAGTATGAGAAACCATAAAACCTACCAGTAGAAGAAACCATAAATCCTACCAGTAGGAGAAACCATAAAAACTACCAGTAGGAGAAACCATAAATCCTACCAGTAGGAGAAACCATAAAACCTACCAGTAGGAGAAACCATAAATCCTACCAGTAGGAGAAACCATAAATCCTACCAGTAGGAGAAACCATAAAACCTACCAGTAGGAGAAACCATAAAACCTACCAGTAGGAGAAACCATAAAACCTACCAGTAGGAGAAACCATAAAACCTAACAGTAGGAGAAACCATAAATCCTACCAGTAGGAAAAACCATAAAACCTACCAGTAGGAGAAACCTATTGGAAGACAATATCATCATAAGGAAGACAGTTCAAGAAATCTAGTAGGATAAAATTAGTGTCATCATGAAGAAGAGGACCTACATGAGGCTGTGGCGCTGTGACGCTGTGAAGATCTTATTAGGATATAATATACAACATATAATATACTACATATAATATACAAGATATAATATAGAACAATATTACGTTGACATAATATACAACAACACGACGCTGTGCACTGACCGTCCCTGACGACGATGCTGATCTTCTCGCCGGCCTGCGCGTGTGGAGGCTCCGTGGTGACCTGGATGGCGTGCTTCTTGGCCGCCCACGCCGTCCTGTGTGGTGCGTGTACGTGTCATCACATGCTGTACTACACGCAGTGCATGACACGCAGTACTACACGCAGTACATGCTATGACATGCATCATACTGACCAACATAGCAGCATATGCATCATACTGACCAACATAGCAGCATATGCATCATACTGACCAGCATATGCCTCATACTGACCAAACTAGCAGCATATGCACCATACAGACCAACATAGCATATGCATCATACTGACCAACATAGCAGCAATAATGGCTTGCATGTTGATTACAATTGTCCCAATAGTAACAGATAAACATAGCCCGCACCTGTAACGCCTGCACCTGTGTGTCTGGATCTCTTGGTAGCGAGCTGCTTCCAGTACGCAGCACATTTATACTTCTCATGACCAAGAGCCATACTTTCAAAACTCGCTAAGTGAACGTAAGTACTTACGCTCTATTTTCTTATCTATTATTGGTGGATTTTGCTTGAAAGGCCGTCAATGATTGGCTGATGAACTTACGATCTCTTAACATTTTTTGAAAGTGTAGGCTCAAAGCCACAGCAGGAACATTTCCCGTCATTCCGGTCCGGAATGACCGGCTATATCTAGTTCCGGTGCGGCTATCTAGTTCCGGTCCGGCTATCTAGTTCCGGTGCGGCTATCTAGTTCCGGTCCGGCTATATCTGGTTGAAGCGCAACCCTCGGCAGGCGATGGTTTTCGCGGATTGCAAACACATTTCCTGCAGGTTCGTTTGTCTTCTTTCTTGAGGCGTAGTGCGACTCTCACCTCGCATTACGAGCGCGTTTATTCAATGACAGTTCAAGAACAGACTAGACAAGGCCATGCAGGAGCATATGTTTAGTCCTAAAATGCCTCGTATCCAACGGAACATCTGAAATCTATAGAAACGATTCTAAACATACCGTCCGTTGAAAAGACTTGATCAAAAGGCCAGTCTAGTCAAGAAATATACAAGAATCGGTGACAGGCCTATTCTTCAATGCCGAAGATACTATACTATACTATGACAAGATCTAGTGTGTGTTCACCCTGGTGGCTGACATAAAGGTGCTCAAGTTTCTTAGGCAGCTTCTGGTCGGCTATACCTGCGACGAACTGATCCCGTATTCGCGCTTTCTTCGCTGTTCCAAATTCACAATCTTCCGCCAATACGAAAAGACCTTTCAAGAAGTTTTACTCGGACTTGCCAGCTACCAGCTGTTTCCCACGCTGCATGGAACTGACGCCTCGGCCTTATGATGTTCAATTTAGGCTTGAAATACTCGTCGAACCTACCAAGAACAGTCACAAAATTCTTCTGCTCTTCTGCTGTCAGATTGAATGTTATCGTAACGTCTTACTAATCATTACTCGTACAATATTTAAGGCTGGAGACCTGCTGAATCTCATCATCCCCACTAACAAACTTCGTAAGTTTCCTCCATGAATCCCACTTCGGTTCATCAAAATTCAGCTAATCAGGAACGCGATACTGAGCCATTCTATTAGCAGTTCAATACCAAGGCACCATGTATAAGTGTTACCACAGCACAACACATAATATAACACAAGTTGGCTAGGAACATATGTACTGGCAGCAGTAGAGGCGGATTTGGGGTCTATGCAAGCTAAGGGTAAAATGCATACTGACAAGACCTGCTACTATTGTACACGTTAGTTTCCGCAGGTACATAATGGTTCGGACGACGCTTGCTACCAACAGATCCACACCTGTGTAACACCTGTACCTGTGTAACACCTGCACCTGTGTAACACCTGCACCTGTGTAACCCCACCTGTGCCTGGTATAGAAGACCTGCATGACACCTGTGTAACCCCTGTCTCTTATACACATCTAGATGTGTATAAGAGACCTGTATAACACCTGCACCCATGTAACCCCACCTGTGCCTGGTATAGAAGACCTGCATGACACGCTTCCGGTGCTGCAGGGAAGTCAGGTGTTGATCCTTCATTGTCATGTCCACAAACTCCTTCTGCGGAAGTGAGAACAACTCAGCACCACATATGAAATTTATTTCAAATAATCTAAGTTTTTACCTTTATATGAAATTTTTTCTATAATTTTGAGAGTGGTAGTGATTTTGATATTGAAAATTAAGATAAATTTGTACATAGATTATGAATCAAGCATATACAAATACAAAAAATTATATTGAGTCAAATTTTTCACCAATGAAGATAAGATATTTGAGAACATGATGCTCTTTCTAATTTACCAAGCTATGAAATACATATTCAGTACTATATATAACTATATAGTAGCATTCTAGTTCTATGAGGGAAATTTGTTAGATTTTTGGGTTGAATATTGGTAAACTAAAACACAATATGGCAGAAAATATCTCAATAATAGAGCTGTGGTTAAACATGGATATGGTTAAACATGGATACATTGTTGGGGCAATAATTACTTCAGGCTTAAGAACAATAATTATTTTACAACACAATCATTTTACAACACAATCTTTAAAAAATTATTTTTCATTCACACCCTTTAATTTTTTAATTTAAATAAGTGCGAATAATGTCTTAATAATTTGACCAAGTTACTCTTACCTGACATATTGAGCACCTAGGTTTGTCTGCCCAGTTCCTCATGTTGTAATTACTCAATTAAACCCTATAAATTAATATAATTTAAAATAAAATTATCTGAGGAAGGAAGCATATCTTATAAAATTCTATTAAGCACAGTAAAATGGAATTGAAGGTAATTTTATAGAATATAAATATTTTAATTTGCTCATAAGCATGGAGATCATAAGCTCATGAGTCATGACATTAATGTCTTGACCTTGACCTTTATTAATGCCTTGACCTTGACCTTTATTAATGCCTTGACCTTGACCTTTATTAATGCCTTTGACCTTGACCTTTTTTTTAATTGACATCATGTGTAGCCTGTAGTTTAGGTACAAAAACAATCTACCAATTAATCAACATTTAACATATAATATAAATTTGTTAGATTGAACTTGGCATTCATGTTCATACTGTTTGCAGAGCATTGATGTTAATAATTCATATTAATCATTCACCATAAAAGGCCATATATATCTGTCCTTAAAAGTATATATAATTGGCAGCTGCCATCCACAGCAATTCTACCTTGGATCAACAATTAAGATAATCATCCAAATTAAGGACATCAATGGCCTAAGCCAGGGGCACTCTTAAAACAAATCAAAAGTACCTTATTAATAACTTTAGACAATATAAAAAGTTGTTATTGTTATTTGTTATTACTATATGATAGTAGCATCTTGAGAGGTAACACCTCTATTTTTATTCTTTTATGCAATTTGAAACCAAAGAGAATGCATTTTGGTATCATTACATCTGTATATATACATGGAATAATTACATTGCCTCAGCCTTATCTACAGTACTGTGCAAATTAGTTCAGACAGTGGTTGAAATAACACAATTATTTGCCACATTGAAGTTTTATTTGAAAAAACATGCCAATGGTGCAAAATAGGATAGAATTAATAGCAGATATGACCTACTTCTGCTTTTCCCAGCATTTGAACACAATTTGACCAAAGTTGAACATGGATTCCAGCATGGATTTGACCAAAGTTGAACACATTTTAGTCACTTGCTCATCATGATACCAGGTCCTAATTACAGCACTAATTAGCTTTGCCATTGTAGAACAGTCTTCTTTCAGGGTCTTTGTTTGATTATAGACCAAGAGTTTTTAATGGGATTGATGTCTGGAGAATTTCCAGGCCAGTATAAAATATCCAGTCCACTTTCTTCAGAGAATGTGTGCATTTTACGTGAAGTATGGCATGGTGCGTTATCCTGCTGGAAAATGCCATCTCCCAAACATCTGCCTAAGAAGATGTTTTGGGGTGGTTTTAATGCTAAAGGCCTTGGACAACTCATTAACGTAGAGGGAATGATGAATAGTGATACATACAAGGCTATTTTGGAGAGTCATTTGCTTCCTAGTGTGACAAGGGACTTTCCTGATGGAGATGGCATTTTTCAGCAGGATCACGCACCATGCCATACTTCACGTAAAATGCGCACATTCTTTGAAGAAAGTGGATTGGAGATTGTAGACTGGCCTGGAAATTCTCCAGACATCAATCCCATTAAAAACTCTTGGTCTATAATCAAACAAAGACCCTGAAAGAAGACTGTTCTACAATGGCAAAGCTAATTAGTGCTGTAATTAGGACCTGGTATCTTGATGAGCAAGTGACTAAAATATGTTCAACTTTGGTTGAATTCATGCCAAATTATGTTCAAATGCTTGTAAAAGCAAAAGGAGGTCATATCTCCTATTAATTATATCATATTTTGCACCATTTAAATGTTTTTCAAATAAAACTTTGATGTGGCAAATAATTGTGTTATTTCAACCACTGTCCAAACTAATTTGCACAGTACTGTACTAACTGTAGTGTATCTTATCCATAATTATCATATGCTGGTGTGGCATGTGGTGGCAAACCAGAGATTTTTTAGAATCATTTCATTTTTAATTTCTCATCCACTCGTTATTTAAAGCAATTTCTTATATATGAAAACTATGGTAATGCTGGTATGATATTATCCATTATCCAAGATACTTACTTGGTCTACTTATACAACACAAAAAATGAGCTTGAAGGGGGCAATAAAAAAAATGTTTTCCTTTGACAGTACCTCTACTTGAGCTGGAGTGGTATATCACGTTATATTTTTAGCTTCATGTTGTACCTTGGGTTTTGCTTGAGGGATTAAGTCATGAAATGAATGTTTAGCCTATTGGAAAAATATATGCCAGCTGTTGGCTGGCAACAGTCAACTATTACTTAGTCTGTTAGTGTTAGCCTAATTTGAGTCTAAACTCTAAAACAAAGAGAATAGGACCTATTCTCTTACCTATCTTTGCCGCTATACATTCATTTCATGACTTAATCCCTCAAGCAAAACCCAAGGTACAACATCAAGCTAAAAATATAACGTGATATACCACTCCAGCTCAAGTAGAGCCAGGAGAGCAGTCAGAGCACTCACCACTCAGCACTGCAGTGACTGCACTTCAGCAGACAGCAACTATCAGCAAGTTAATGATAGTTAATGAAGTCATAGTCATACTCATACTCATCAATCATCATACGTAGCTACTCATAGTCGATGAGTCATACTCATAGTGGTCATGAGTCATGACTCATGAGTCATACTATTACCTAGTACAAGTAGTCGAGTACATTTGACTCATAAATGACTGCCAGTGGCCAGTCATTGAGTGTCATTCCACCACCAAATTATCAACACTCATTGAATCAAAATCATAGACAGTCAAAGATGTTCTTTCGTATATACTTAGGCATTGAAACAAATTTTTAGTGAAACTGAAACGCATGGCTAATTTTCAATTGACCTTAACTTAAGGCGTTACGGAGAAAGTCAGTTGCGTTCATTGCGAAAGCACGTGTACGATTTGCGCTCTCTAACATTCAAAATCTCTTTTGGTATTTTGCATTCGAAGGTTCAATTTCTAAAGTTTCTCTCTTTACAATTTACTGCCACACTGGCTGGTGGAAGTGCTAAAATTGAATAAAAACTAAGTAGAACCAAAAAGTGAAGTGGAGTGACCAAAATCCCAGTTGTGCTCAGGCTGGGAGGTGTGCTACCAGCATACCCGAAGCCTTCAAATCAAATTAAAAAAAAAAATTAAGGCGTTACGACTTTAGTTCAGTGTTTATTGAACCATCACGTTATGAGATTTCAGTATCATTAAGTTTATCCACCTTGAAGAGTAATTTGTAACACCGAACAAAATAACGCTCGTGGAGAAATATTTACTCACAGATAAATAAATATTAACCTGAAAAAAAAACAGCATCTTGTCTCAAAAGTTCACGAAACTGAATGACGACGAGACCACACCCGCTCCTACAGAGCACTAAATGAAGACTGAGAACGCAGCAAACTGGTTTGGGACGAGTTTGGAACAAACATGAACTTCTATGTTTTGTCGAGATAGTTGAGAAATATGTTGAATGTATTTTTTTGCAATACAGAACATTTGACGTTATCATGCAATGCTTATTCCATGATAAACTAAATGTGTTTCAGTAATTCGTTAATGTCAAAAACTATATGACTAACGTCAAATTATCCAATGAATGAAATATCATTTGACGACGTGAATATTTTCAGCAAAGAAAAGCCTTTGGTTCTTTAGTTAGAGCATAATTGATTTTTTGTAGGTAAGAATTGATATTAATAAAGCATTTTTCTATCTCAGATCAGGTTATAATTAACGAAGATGTACATGGACAGTTGTGTGTAACTTGGGTGCGTTTTCACGGCTGAGTGAAATTTCGAGTTGGTCTATGTAAGAAAGAATGAAAGTAATTATAGGGCCGACTAAATTGCACTGAGTATATGCCTTTCCCAACTGACTGTGTCGAAAACCATTCTATAAAAATTATGTTAGACAATTTTCTAATGCTGTCATCGTAAGCTGACAGTTAATAACTGTCTATGAAACCAATCACATGATTCGGACGATTTGATATCTTTGAGATTGCAATATACTTATAGCCATACGAGAAAACTAGGAACTTCACGAGAGCCTACTAACTATAGTATAATTTTAGTATCTTCGGCATTGAAGTATAGGCCTGGATAGGCCAGTCGCCGATTCTTGTATATTTCTTGACTCGACTGGCCTTTTGATCAAGTCTTTTCAACGGACGGTAGGTTTTAGAAACGTTTCTAGATTTCAGATGTTCCGTAGGATAGCATTTCAAGACTATACATATGCTCCTGCATGGCCTTGTCTACTCTGTTCTTGAACGCGTTCATACTCGGAGCGTCAAAAATATCTCCAGGAAGGCTGTAAAATCTTCAGGAAGGCTGTTCCACATGTCGGTGACTCGAAGCGAGAAGTGTTGTTGCATGGATGAGTTGCACCGCAGTTTTTTAGTTTATAGCTGTGGCTCCTGGTGTTGGTTCTTGTTTCAAATTCTATTAATCCTTCTGGGACCTTGAACAAACCATGAGTATACTTGTATATTTCAACGAGGTCACCACGCAGGCGACGATAACGGAGACTGGAGAGCTTCTTAATCTTCAATCTTTCTTCATAAGACTTGCCCCTTTGAGCCAGGAATCATCATTGTTGCACATCTTTAAACACTTTCCTGCACGGCCTGTTGTCGATTCTCGAATTTTTCGTGACTTGATTCACAAGGGATCCGGCCTTTGGAACCCTATCTTTCCATAACTGACGATTGATTGAGATAACTACTGGCCTTATTGCCTGGTCCGTAATTTGCTAGGCATTTTAAGACTGAACATATGCTCCTGCATAGCTTCGTCTAGTCTGCTTTTGAAGGCGTTCATACTCGGAGCGTCAACGATGCTATCAGGGAGGCTGTTCCACATGTCGGTGACTCAAAGCAAGAAGAAATGTTGTCGCATGGATGTGTTACAACGCAGTTTTTTTAGTTTATAGCTGTGGCCCCTGGTGTTGGTTCTTGTTTCAAATTCTAGTAATCCTTCAGGGGCCTTGTATAAGCCATGGCCCATGAGAATACTTATATGCTTCAATGAGTTCCCCACGCAGACGTCGATAACTGAGCTTCATAATCTTTAATCTTTCCTCATAGGACTTGCCGGAATTATCCTTGTTGCACGTCTTTGAACAGCCTCTCTTGAATTTTTGTCCTTTTCAAGTTTCGGTGACCACACGACGTTTTCAAACTCTAGGTTCGGGCGTACGACAGCAACAAACTGCTTCATCGCTTCTGCATCTAGGAACTCGAAAGAGCGTCTGATCAGTCCAAGTCGTTTCTTGGCTTTATTAACTTGACCTTGTGCCAAATGTTGACGTTATGATACAAGAATGGAACTTTACACGACATTGCATCATAAACTTGTCGACATGTGCCAGACCTGCTAGCTGCTAGACTGTCGGCACCCTTATTACCATCGATAGAATAGAAAACTTAGGATCTTATGAGCCGCCACATCATGTCACCAGAACATACATTTTTGGAAACTGCTTAATAAAACAAGGTCCTATTAAAGAAATAGTATACGGAGAGAGAAAAAGGCTACACGACCCACACAAAATCTCGGATGTGGCACCAGTTCAAGCAATAAATTCATTTCTAAGACCAAAGGAATTCTATTATTTTAAACGTATAAATGACACCCATGGCGTTGTTAGGCGAGGTTCCAAACACAACTAGTCCCTGGATTCGTCCCATTGATATGCTGAAAAATAAAACTTTTCTAAAGGAACGAAAATTGTACACATTTTCAAAATACAAGTTAATATGAGCAATAAGCTAGAGTTCTGTTAGCAATAATAATCGTTGGAAATGGATGGACACCATCAGTGAAAGTTTTTCTCGGTGCTTCGCACATTCCACTATAACGCTCAATTTCTTAATAGTTATAAATACTATACTAGTATAATACTTGGCAACTTAGACTTTTACCTTTTATTACTTAGCAACATTTCCATAATAAGAAACACTGTAGCCAAGAAGGTTCCCAAACCAAATTCTTGTACTGGAGCTGGAGTTGAAACGAATTCCTTCAATATTTTTTTATTGAGATCATTTAACGATTTGGAGGCTTATTAGAACAATAATTTTTCAATCTCTCTGTGGATGGATTGGATCTGAGTCTTGAGCTGCGATCCCTCATTGGAAAGGATGGCTACGGCGACGACGGCGCGCGTGACGCCACATGCTCGTCCCAGCGCTGCCTTGGACGACACGAAGACGTAAGGTACGTTCTTGTCCTCGCACAACAGCGGCAGGTGCAGCAGAATTTCGATTGGCTCGGTGTCGCCTGCCAGTATGATCAGGTCGCACTGACCACGGTTCAGTGCCTGAAGGAATAGCAATTAGTTATGTGATGAGTAACAGCAGCATGATGGGTAACGTTCAAAGGCAGAACGGATATTCTAACATTTTAATTGGATGACGTAAACCCAATGAAACAATGGATGAATGGACCCATTCCAACATGCCAATCAACAAATTTTGGTTAGGAATGTTTTGATCTTTTATGAAACTATTGAACTGACCTTTGTAGCCTCATTAGCACCACGCCGGACCTGGTGATAGGAAGTGCACTGCTGTGTCAGTGACAGCAACTTCTGGCTGAGGGCAGCATCCGCAAGGGGGAAAGCCTTGGGACTAACACGGGATTCTTCAGCACTCTGGAAGAACAATACAAGTAATTAGGATAAAAAGCAACAAGGAGTGTAACTTACGACACTCTAATCCAATTTGTGGTCACTGAACAAAAAAAGTTCAAATTTTGTTCTAGTAACAAAAGTTTTACTAGAGATTCTTTACTAGAAGATTTATTAAAGATATCAATGGCATTGATGGAGCCAAGATTATTGGAGATGAATTGTCAACTTGCAAACAAGTTTATAAATATTACCATTGATTGGTAACAATGATAAATATCAACATAACTTGTACACAAGTTGAGTAAAAGTTGTAAAAAAGTTGAAAGTATGCATAGATCAATTAGAAAAAACTGCAAAGGCATACCACTGATAAACAAGCCATACATATTGCATGTAGGAAAACATGACTAATGAAATAGTTATTTCACCCATTCTAGAGGCCTGCAGAGTACACATACTTTGAAAACAATTTAAATTGAATTCAATACAAATTATTTATACCTTGAAACGCCTTCAATGAGGTGTTTTAAAAATTCCCTTGGAAGCAACATAAAACTCTAGTTTACAGGAATAACAACCAATTGTGGCATGGCAGCATAGACGGTAGTGATAGCGGCAGACATCAATAGATTCATTTCTTACCAATTTTTAGGCAAAGAACTAGAAGATTCTTTTTTGTAATTACATGCCACTAAAATAAATATTAACATAATGTTATTCTTATTAAAATTTTAATTAGCAAATAATCCAGGATATGTTGAGGTTTCAACTTCAAATATAAATGTTTATGATCCCACATCAAACCCTATTTTACCCAGAAATTTCACAATAAAACCACTAATGAACAATAAAAAGTACTAAATATGTAAAAACAAACCAGTAAATTTTTATTTGCCTCACTACCATAGCAGAAAATTTTCCTGAAACAGTTTTCAGCTTTTTTTCAGAAACTTTGGAAGAAATGGACTTGGCACTTTGTAATTTTTCCCAGACTTTGACACCTCTATTATTGCCAATGCTCAAAAATCATCAGGCTTGTATATGCTTGTTGTTTTGAAATATGAAGCTAAATTATACAAAAAAAAACATGTTGAATTAATTATGTTAAACCTACATCAAAATTTAGGTGGGGCTAACAAAATATTTTTTTAAAATTTAAGTTTTTTCTCCAGCAATGATTATAAAAAATGGCCAAATCAACACCCAAGAATTTAGAACAAATAGTGAAACTATCTAAATAGATTTTGACCAAAGGAAATATTTGGTGGTCCCTTTTTTGACTTCATGTCATTGTGTAGGTCTGAATGCAAGTTAGGAGACCTAGTAAAATATTTAAAAATTATGAATGGGTGTACTTTTTTTTGGTTGCAACTCATTTGGCACAAGTGCTTTATACGAGTCTTGCACTACACTTTACATAGCCCTCTTCTCAATCTAAACCCTGCACATATGCAAGAAGAGGCCTAATTTAAACCTGTAATATTTGTGCCATTTATGATTTGCTCTAATTTACTTCTTAGTTGAGCATTACTGTGCTGAGCACAAAGATTAGTTGAATGTATGGGCCAGGGTTGGCAATGATTAAATCATGTGATTAAATCACTTGATTTTTTATAAAAAAATCAAAATTTTTTATTATTTGTATTTTTCATTCAAATATATTGAGTGGCAGTCTTCAATTTACTTTGAGGTATTGTTATTCATGGTTTAGTATTAATGTACTATGACAAATTGGAATATAAACCTGTTGCCTTTAATCTTAGTGTGTATTACATTCCAATGAATTGTATGTTTTTGGTAGAGGCACCAAGTGTTGCAATACATTATACAATATAAAATAGCTAGCAGCTTAGATAATTTTTATAAGGCTATAAGTAGTATTTAAAAAACTATTTGACTATTTGTTATATATTAATCACATTATACAATTTACATGTGTTAGCTAGCTTATATAAGAAGGGTTGGTTGAGATTGTATTGACCTTTTAGGCATTTAGAAAGATTTTCCACTCTTATATGAGTACCATCAAGATGGGGTGACTTTGGCCACACCTACAACAGAAACAAAAGGCAGCAAAACAAAATAATAAATGTAGGCCAAAGTGCCTTGGGTGACTTTGGCCTCCAGGGTGACTTTGGCCAACGTTTATTATTTAGTTTTGCTGCCATTTGTTTCTGTTGTAGTGGTGGCCGAAGTCACCCCACTTGATGGTATTCTAATTAAAATATTTATTTTCAATCTTTAAATATGTGAATTTATAATTAAAAAACAAAGCAATTACAATTATAAAACTATATATAAAATACAAGTCATGTGAGGTTTGTTTGGTTGTCATTCAGTTTGTTTAGTATTGGTTAATTGGTCTGAATCAAATTGCAAAACAGCACAGTCAGTCACTGTCACTAGGTACTAGTTGGTGTGTTTGGAGGGTAGAGTCTGGTAGATTTATAGGACATACAACCAGTAGATCTATTGATAGTGTTGTGCACTGTGCTCTCAGCTACCTATCTGTTATGTGACTTCAATGTTTAGAAGATCTGCATTCCTGAAGTGTTATTGTATACTGCAGCTAGTTAAATGGTCAATATATAGCCCGTTACCTTGCGCTATACAATCTTTACAAAGCTAATGAATAGACTTATCAATAATTGTTTACCACAAAGTCCTGAAGTGATAAACACCACCTTGGCCATTTTTGAAGGCAATAACTGATCTTTTTAGCCATACATATACTGTTATTGTTAGTAGGCTAATTGCAACATAAAAAATAACATTTCAAAAAGGAAAAAAAGCTAAAAAATCATTGATTTTGTATTTTTACAAATGAAAAAATCACCACCCCTGGTATGGGCAGCAATTCAAAGATGAATAATGGCCAGAAATTCCAGGATGAATAACAAATGAAGTACCGTACATGGGGATGCATGGCCTCATTCAATCTTGAGCCTTGCTCCAGTATGGAATTCTGTATAGGTAATATATTATCATGTTAACATAGTAAAATGTATCGAAAACTTACCACCTGGCACCTTACACCTTCCACCAAAGTGACAATTGATACTCATTACACTGAGCTCGTCAGATCAGAAACTGCGGACACCCGGACAGCCGCGCTTCCTTTATCTCGCTTGCGTGTGGTTCAAAAACCGATAAAAAGTCGGCGACTCTTCCCAAATGCAAACACTAGTCGTGTATGCGTATCGAGAAATTTTTTGTAATGAATATGTTCCAAAATAAAATAAAAATTACATCATCTTTCGCAGAAAGTTCTCACGATTTCATCGATACCCACAAAGTTCTCGAATCCACACGAAATGATGGGATAAACTGCTAAACTTTCACGGCATATGGCAACATTGTGTTGACTGTTGACATTAGACAAGATGGTGTCAAGACACCTTTTTTTGGTCTTGTGAAGTTCGATTTCACAATAATTAGACTTGATCCACATTCCATACTGACATTTAAATGATGGAAATTTGTTTCAAATTATAAATACCAATTAATACGCGTACAGATATACATTTTCTCATGTTTTTTGCCTATTTTGTCAATATTGTCTATATAATTAACTTCACCTCAGATTCTAAATGATTTCGTCTGCCATCCCGCGTTTTCGAACGTTTTGTGTCTTTTAGAACATTTTCGTTGTTTAACATGGGAAACTATTTCATTACATAAAACATAGAGCACGTACCATATTTTCATTTAGGTTCTATTGACCGTAATAGCCTAATAGGTAGAACGATGCTACATATTTGCGGCCATTTAATGATCGGTTAACGGCGTTGACTCGTGATACCCATACTAATACTATTGTACAAATATTGTGGTAGACACATCATAAAGACGTTTCAATGCAAAGATTCTTATTCAAAGGATAATAAATCGATTCGTAATTATTTACTTCCACCTATAGATATAAATGAACATCATTCAATATATTTTAATTGCTTCTCATGAATTCGCATTAAAATATTTATTTTGAAATCAACCATGTCAGAGTAACGAAATAATTTGTTCAAGTTTTAGGCTTCCGAAAATATTTCAAACCTCTAACAAAAATATCATAATTAATCATTCTCTTGCATTGAGCATATGAACGTTATGCCTTGTGCTGCCGCATCCGCGATCGTCATTCGTTTCTGTCAGTTGCATGCCGGGAGCTGTTCTATGTAGTCTTGCTCCGATGAATTGCGTGTTTATTGTGTGCATCATGGAAAAGTTCTTTGCTGTCACATTAAGAGACAAATCTTTAATGAACTAGTACTTTTTATAATTTTAATTGTTGAGTGCAAGCTGCCCTGCAGACACGTAACATTTCCAAGTTAAGTGATTACTTTATAGAAACTTTTTTATACCTTTACCTATACGTGTTTAAGCCTATAAGAAGTTTATTTTTTTGCCTCAAATAATGTTGTATCGAGAAACTGGTCTAGGTGTATCGGGAATAATATATGAACTGTAAATTTTAGAATTCCATCCTGCCTTGCTCAAATTGGTAATTAATAAATTTATAAAGCACATGGATATACCGCGCTTACCCTATAACAAAAATATAGGGTAAATGCGGTATATTCCAACATCGTGGGTAATTCTGACACTTCTCAAATTTTTTCCTATATATTAAGCTTTTTCTTAGTTCCATGCATTCGTTGATGGTTGAAATAGTGATGTCATACTTTTGCGCGCCAAACTATTGCCAAAACACTAGGTCTGGGCCGTCTGGTACGAAAATTTTGAGATCCAAAGAGAGACCGTGCACATCACCCAGTGTGAACATCAAAAAATGTGTTAAAGGTTATAGTTGACCTTGCTCTACCAAATAGTGAGTAACTGTTTGTGTAGAAAGAATATTATGGTTTGAGACCTTTGAATACGTCTCTCACGGTCTGTTAATATATTAGGAATCCTTTACATATACTTGTATTTGCTGATTTCAGGTGGTAAAAAAATTAATAGATGATTAAGTTAAGAGACGGTTTTAGGCACATAAAAACTAATTCGGACACAGCTTGGAATTAGACACACACAGCTCGTTCCAAGCTGTGTGCAAAAATTAAAATTTTCTTAATTAAAAGCTTAATAGCTCTTAATTAAAAGCCTAATCAAGTAGTGTTCAATATTCAATTTTGTTCTAATTCCAAGCTGTGTCGTATTCCAATACAGCTCACACAGCGATCGGAATTAAACACGAATGTCTGCACTCTGCATTACAAATTAGTAGAGTTTGAAGCGCTGCCGGAATTAGTCTCAACTCTCACAAAATGCCAAATTTAGTCACACAGTGTCGGAATATAGGTATAGGATTTGGTAGGTTTGCATTCTAAAGGCTTTTAAATAAATATGGCAACATTTTGTGACTTTCATTGTTGCTGGCATGTAGTGCAGTGTTTTGAGAGTGATGTAAAGCAAACAGAACTCGAGTTGCGCATACGGTGTATTTTTTATAGCCATCCATTTTTTGCTAGGGTAAACGCGGTATATTCCGACACTTTAAGGACGCATCGAGAAATGAAAAACTATAAAAAAAAACCGTATGCGTTACGTAAGTTCTGTTGCCTTCACATGACTCTCAAAACACTTCACTACGCGTCTGAAGTTGAAAATTTTATGAAATGACATGTTTGCGAAGTGCAAACCGCGATTTTTTAATCAAACAAAAATTTATGACATTCGAGCCACGAGATTTCATACCTACTGAAATTATATGATATTAGAGCCGCGATATTTCAGACAAAAATAGGACTTTTCCAGACTAGCACATATTCACATCCACATGCATATTAGCCTCATTCACAAATGGCCTCTACCTGATTTTCCTGTTTGGCCACAAGCACCAAACTCAAGCACAATAAAAATAAAATATGGCAGCAAAATGCTATAAAAATCTTAGAATTTACAAATCAAGTCACTTTTGAGTTTTGAAAAAAATTTCTGGGTTTCAAGATAAGATTTCTTTCTGTAAATGGAATGTAACAGAAGAGACTTTAACCAATTATGAAATATCATATTTTTAAATGGGAACATGCTAATGTAACAGAAGAAATTTCTACCTATTATGATTTAGTACGTTTTTTAATTGGGAATATGCCAAGTGGCAAGTGTTAGAGATTAGACAGACACTGACAGAGTCGTGTGGCAACTCATGTCTCGTTGGTAATTTATAGAAAGACAAATATAATTTTCAGGGTTAAATAAGCTTTATCTCGAATTATAAGAGTTTAAACTTTAATTCTCTTACCATAATTTCTTAGTTTACCGATAAAAAGTGAGCGAAGTTGAACAACAAACCCTCGGTAAGAATACCTTACTTCATTGGGTACTGTAACTACTGTTCACCGAAACTTCCGCGAAAACGTTTGGACTTTGAGTAAACGTTGCGGACAGTTGCCAACAGGTAATCTTAAAGACTACGAATGTCAAGAATTTGTGTGGTTTTTATTTACATCGAACTATTTATTGCAATAAAACAATCAATCTAACTATGTATCTTTAAAAAAAGTTGAATTTTGTATTAGGCCTAAAGTTTTTCTTCGAATGTAAAATTAAATTTCATGCTTGGTATAGATGAGATCTTGGACAAATTTACGGCCGGACTTGCAGCATGTCTCACGGCGAATCTCCAAATGCGTAGTGAAGGAATATCCCCCAAACCAATAAACGCAGTTCGATGGAACTTTGTACACGTATTCATCAGGACCTCACCGTGATATTTAGCTCGTGATTTTTTTTCAATTCCACCTTCATTCCTGAATTATACGGCAATGCGGGCCAAAATTTGCAGTGACCAAGAAATTTATTTTAAAGTACTGAACAGACATGAACAAAACTTTGAATATACATTCCTAATCTTCCAACGTTAATTACTCAATACTCAATGCAAGATAATCTGCCTTACCGTTTAATTCGAACAGTATACCTAGGGGTCCAAGTGGGGTACAATGGGACAAAAAAAAAGTTAATTTGAAAATTAATCAGTTTCCCTTTTACCTACAAATGTTTATAATTTTATAAAACTATACAAATTTTTATAAAACTAAGCATCACATTCTTGGTTAAATTGCTAAGTAGCTAAGCAATAATTATAACTGTTCTATAGACCATAAATATTGAGAATATATAATCAAATATACTGTCCCACAATACCCTCTGTCGGGGTTATGGGACAGTACTTTAGGGACATTTGAACACTTCACCAAATTATGATATAATCAAAATTATAGTCAAATTTCATCTTAGGATTTCATCTTTTTGTTATTACGCATTTAGTAGGGTGGCTAAGAATGACTTAAACGTTTTCAATACTGTCTGATATAATATCAGCTGCATTAGGAAATACAAAATGTTCAAATTTTTCTCAACGACCCAAGTCTCAACGTAACTTTCGTCTATTGGCTTTGTTATTAAGACTACATAATGTATTTTTGGCTCACATAAGCAAGTTCTACTGGGATGTAATTATAAAACTTTGGTTCCCTCTGCAATGGTTTGAATGATTTTTTAACTTTTTTCTAACAGTAATTCTTTATCCATCGCTTTAGATGGATAATGTAGAATGCGGAATTTTTGCTGATGAAGATGACAAAGAGCCTGGTATCTTATTCAAAGAATATTTGGCGGCGAAAGTTCAATTTTTTTCATATTGGAAGGTCCTTGCTTGAAGAATGGGCAGATCCAAGGACTTGGACACTGTCCCATAGTGCCCTGTTGTGATTTCACGAGCATTACCACCCCACCGGAGTATTATCACTTGCCGGTTAAGCAATCGCCGCCTGCCAATAACACTACATATGACCGCTGTCAAAAGGTGGTGTGCACCACGCGAAGCTGGCCAATTAATTTGTTATAGTGAAATATTAGAATTGAGCATTAGCGGTATTAAGTCTTGACATAATTAATTTTAATATATAGCTGTTACCAGTAATCATTGGGATAATACGTTTATGATGATCTATATAGCCTCTGATCTATATAGTCCTATCTATATTCTTAGATATGACGTTGATCTATTTAGTTCTCCTATTTCTCAACCTCGTTCGTTATCGTAGCGCATGCTTCTTAGCGATCGTTGCCATCGAAAATCATTGAACCACCTGTCACTTCCTGGCCCTGGAGTGTTGTTATTCCACTCGAACCATCCACCAAGGAACAAAAGACTAAGTTATGTGATGAAAGTGGAACCTCGTAAAGTGACAGCCGTATACATCGCTCGATCACTGACAAGCATTTAAGTCTTATAAAACCTAATTCAGAGATTTTGGACAAAGAAACAATCTAAGCCTTTGAGATATGAGAGACTAGCCTATATGAAAGACACCGACGACTGTCTCGCACTTCTCCGAGCACTAAAAATAGACATGCTCCAAATATGTCTCAATAGTATTAAATAATATGCGTTTAGAAATTACTTTTTAAAGACAACACTTCTGAACAATCCAGTGTCTTTGATGTTACACATGTACAATGAATTTCTAATTTCATTTTCATATATTTAAAAGAAAAATTATTTTTCACAATTTTTTATGATATCAAAATTTTGTACATTTTCAAAATTATTTATTCTGTCAATTGACTCATGCATTGTCTCTGACTTTGCAATTGTGCAAAATTTCGGATCAATTGGACATTTCAAATTGTGCCATATATGAATTATAAGATTTGTATCAGACGAAATTATATTTTTATTTTAGTAATGAAAAAAAGATTTTTTTATTCATAAAATTATTTATTCTGTCAATTGAATCATGCATTGTCTCCAACTTTACGCAAGTGTGCCAAATTTCAGATCGATTGGACAGGTAGAAGTGTGTTAAATATCGATTATAAGATTTGTAGCAGACAGACAGACAAACAAACAAGAAGTAAAGTTAAAGAGAAGTCTTGTAAGAAAGTTACTGAGCTTATTACTACAATCTTAAACTGAACACAAACGATTTCTTCTAGTTAACGCGATCAAACGAGAGGAGATTTAAATATATTTCACAAGCAATTTCTGCTTGTGAACACGATCAAACGATAGGAGACTTAAATATATTTTATTATAGAATCTAAAAAAAATGTACTGAGCTTATTACTGTAATCTTAAACTGAACATAAGCGATATTTTCTAGTTAACGCGATCAAATGATAGGAAACTTAAATATATTATTCCCTGGAATATATTATATTTCCCGGGCATATTATCATAGTCTTTAACTGAACACAAGCAATTTCTGCTTGTGAACATGATCAAATGATAGGAGACTTAAATATATTATAACTTAGAATATAAAAAAGTTACTGAGCTTATTACTATAATCTTAAACTGAACACAAGCGATATGTTCTAGTTAACGCGATCAAACGATAGGAGACTTAAATATATTATATACCCTAGAATAAATAAAAAATTACTGGAAATATTACTATAATCTTCAACTGAACAAAAGCAATTTCTGCTTGTGAACACGATCAAACGATAGGAGACTTAAATATATTTTATTATAGAATCTAAAAAAAATTTACTGAGCTTATTACTGTAATCTTAAACTGAACATAAGCGATATTTTCTAGTTAACGCGATCAAACGATAGGAGACTTAAATATATTATTCCCTGGAATCTATTATATTTACCGGGCATATTATTATAGTCTTAAACTGAACACAAGCAATTTCTGCTTGTGAACATGATCAAACGATAGGAGACTTGAATATATTATACCTTAGAATATAAAAAAGTTACAGAGCTAATTACTATAATCTTAAACTGAACACAAGCGATATTTTCTAGTTAACGCGATCAAACAATAGGAGATTTAAATATATTATTTACCCTAAAATACATGAAAAATTACTGGGCATATTACTATAGTCTTCAAATGAACACAAGCAATTTCTGCTTGTGAACACGATCAAACGATAGGAGACTCAAATATATTGTATTTTAGAATCTAAAAATAGTTACTGAGCTTATTACTATAATCTTGAACTGAACACAAGAGATATCTTCTAGTTAACGCGATCAATCGATAGGAGACTTAAATATAATATACCCATGAATAAATTAAAAATTACTGGTCGTATTACTAAAGTCTTGAACTGAACACAAGCAATTTCTGCTTGTGAACACGATCAAAAGATAGGAGACTTAAATATATTATACCTTATCATCTAAATCGTTACTGGGCTTATTACTATAATATTAAACTGAACACAAGCGATACCTTCTACTTAACGCGATTAAACGATAGGTGACTTAATTACATTATACCCTAGAATTAATAAAAAATTACCGGGCATATAACTATAATCTTGAACTGAACACAAGCAATTTCTGCTTGTGAAAACGATCAAATGATAGCAGACTTAAATATAATATACCTTGGAATATAAAATAATATGCGTCAAAAAAGTACTTTTTAAAGACAACACTTCTGAACAATCCAGTGTCTTTGATGTCACACATGTACAATGAATTTCTAATTTTATTTTCAAACATTGAAAAAAAAATTATTTTTCACAAATTTTTTATGATATCAAAATTTTTGGAAATTTTCAGAATTATTTATTCTGTCAATTGATTCATGCATTGTCTCTGACTTTATGCAGTTGTGCAAAATTTCAGGTCAATTGGACAGGTCAAATTGTGTCATATATGGATTATAAGATTTGTAGCAGACGAAATTATTTTTTAATTTTTTTATTAATGAAAAAAAAAAATTAATTCATAAAATTATTTATTCTGTAAATTGATTCATGCATTATCTCCAACTTTACACGAGTGTGCAAAATTTCAGATCGATTGGACAGGTAGAAGTGTGTTAAATATCGCTTATAAGATTTGTAGCAGACAGACAGACAAACAAACAAGAAGTGAAGTTAAAGAGAAGTCCTACCTATCTCCTACCTCCGGCGATGGAGCTTCTCAGATTAACTCGAAAGAATCAAACCATAATGCTGTCTGAACTTAGAAATTCGGCGACATGTCTAACGGCCTAATGAGCGCTGACACCGCTACACAAATCCACTTCAGCTGACTATGACTAAATTCGCAGGGTGATTAACAAAATTTTCCTGTTTTGTATTTTGCGCCAAGCTGTCAGATGTTGTAGAAAAAGCCGAGAAGTATTTCGTAAGAAAGGTAAGGCCATGAAGTTTTGTGTCTTGTCTAGTCAGTTGCCACTACTAATTGTACAAGTGAGCAGCGTGCGTTTGCTGTCGAGGCGTACTTTTCTAACGGCATGTCCATTATCGCTGCTCAATCAACGAGCATTCCGTACTTGGTTCCGTATTCGTCCTTCAGGTCAGGATCCTGTTCGGAAAACGATTGTTACGTGGGTATGCACGTTTATTTAGCTCCGTTTGATTTTCTTATGGGTTATCTTAAATCAATTGTGTACAACGACAGTCCAATGACCCTACATTATTTGAAGAACAACATATGCCAAGCCCTCGCCAACATCCCCGGCAGTATGCTTCAGCAATTTGAACAGAACTTCAAAAACCGACTCACTGAAAACATTGACTATAGCGGCCGTCATTTGTCCGATATTATCTTCAAAGCCAAATGATGCAAAAATTCAGGTAATGTCTTCTTTCAATAAAATTTATATTGTAATGATATCTTGCTTAGTTCTTCTTTTATTGAGCTTTCAAATCAGGAAATTTCCGTGAATCAACCTATGAGTGGGAAAATTATAGTGGCTCCAGTCGAGAACTTTGCACGAAAATTAATCCAGTCATAAAGCGACCGTCGTCTGCTTGCACAAACATAAACTCTACTACAGAATCCTTAGAAAAATATACAAAGCTTTATATATTTTCATTTAAATTTTTGAATACAAAATTGTCAATGCGGCTGCAGTAAGATCGTTTTAGCCGACATCACCTTTCATTTGCGTTGTTCACAAATTTTGCGGTGCTACGTCATTACACACGAGCAAAGCACGTCATTTTCTGCTGACCGAAAAGTTAAAAAATTGTCGGAATTAATAATTCTGTAGTAAACTACAAATTCACAAAGATCTTAATCCTTAAAATACAACGACAGAAATCGATATTTGAGACATGACAATATAAAAGAACAACAGAGAAGAGAAGTTTCTACTGGCAGACACTCCTCATAAACGGTTCTATTCCCTTTGGCTAATAGATATTGACGCACAGCAGCAAGGATGATACGCCCTTTAGGGGTAGGATACTATCGCCTGTTCCCAGTGTCTCAGCGTCACTCGAGTATAGTTGCTCGATTACTCAATGACTTGAAAACATTTTTGTGGTCGTCAATCCGAAAAACATCAACCAACCACAGTTTGTTTAAAATCTACTTTACAGCACATTGTTGAATATTCACAGGCGTATACTATGAATTGGCGAACGAAATACTGATACTGTAAATTGACCTAGGACCCAACGACCCAGCATTCCATGGAATTATTTAAATTAAGCGATACAAAAATTCTGACGACGATAACTGCACGTTTTAACATTACAAGGTAAAACGAGTCATGTTGATTTCAATAGATACAGACTTCGCAATTCGCATCGACCGTTTAAACGCGTTTAAGTGTTGCTGGCTGAGCGCCGGCGAATGTTATAACCTGAAGTTGTCTTGAAAATTACGCTCGTAAAATTGAGCTCACTTTCCTTCATCGTGTAACTCGGGGAGCAAAGGAATATGATGAACCATTAACACTCCGTACGAAATACTACTGTTGGCGCGGACTATCATCGAATGTTTAGTAAAGTTTACGAGTTTTAATGTTTCATTGCTATGCGTTTCCACGTTTCCTACCCAGTGCCTCGAAGCAGCGAATGTAGAGGGCAAACAAAATTGATTCATATTGCACCAATGAGAATAGTATTTGCAGCGATGAGCAATCACTTTTTTACCGACTGATATGACTAATACACGAAGTTTAAAATATTTTACAGTAACTGCAAATTATATAATCATAGCTTCAGTTGGAATTATAATGTCGGGCGAAATTGTAGACGATCTGGCGATCTTCTAAACGATGCGTTAGCGAGAAATTATTATTATTACTTAGAAATGCTAATTTCCGGACCTATAATGCGCTTCCGAATTCGTCAACCAAAACCCAAGAACTGCTGATGGAACAGTTTTATAATGCCTCTTACGTGCTATTTAGGCAAGTGTTCTGGAAAGTGGTGGCTTGATATACATTGATTTGACTTGACACGTGTTCGCTTGAATTTATATTCTGAATCTCATTCAGCGAATGATCCAAACTTGGTTTTGTAGTCGATAGGGAAATTGAGAGCGAGGAGCCTCTTGAATACTTTAATAAATAAAGATGATTTGGTGTAATATTCACATTAATTAATCACGGTTAATGTACCGTTCACGGATAGCTCTCTATATAAGGCAGTGATACGTTAACAGGGCGAAACTTGAACAAACTTGAACATTGCTTCCAATCGTTGAAATACTGTACTTATTTCTTGAGATATTGACTCAAATCGAACCATTGCAATGCTTCTATTGCAAAAGACAATATATCATTAAAATGGTGTCAAAAAATGAAGGAAATTAGATTCTAAATGAAGTATAAAATATAAGAGAATGTACCAAGCATACAAGTGATATTCATACATGCATGATCTTTGGTTTCTGCTGAATAACCAGACTAGTCGAACCGTCCAAATGTTATATTAAACAATTCTTAATGCATACTAGATCAGTCTCGTATATAAAGTTCTTCTTCTTTAATAATTCCAAGTCTCCTGGCAACGTTCTTGACGTTGTTGATGACCTCTTCTTGTACTAAATTGAACGACATGGCCAGGAGAGCGATGCCGAACAGGAGGTAGAGCGAGCATAAGGCAATGCTCAACTCTTGGTTCTCTTTGCCTTCTTGTGCTGGCACGAAGTCACCGAAGCCTGAGACAAAAAGAAAAGCTGTCGAATAAATGTCGGCATGAGTAATAATCATAGAATAAACGTACCCAATAAGAAGAATACTAACGTTTATCAAGTTTGTAATAATACTTGCTTTATACATCAAATCTCTTACCGATGGTCGTGAGGGTGATGAAGCAGAAGTAAACCGAGTCCAAGAACTCCCAGTTCTCCCAGCCCGAGAAGAGAACTGCACCGCCCAAGATATAGGCTACAACGAGCATCACTCCTAGCCAAATGGGCACGGGCTTGTCGGAAGGATCAGTTTCGTCTACAGGATCCTCATCAAAGCCGTCAGAATATTCGTAGTCATCGAGGTACGCCGGATCTGGTCTGGCCGGCGGCCGCGGGCTGCGCGGCGGCGGCTGCAGGTGAGGACTTAGCGGAGGGAGAGATTGTCGCACTGAGCCTGAAACTGCCCGGTATTGTGTACGTCATTGTGGTATCCCTCTCCCCTATAGTCTAGGTTCACTGTATGGATATGCTATTAGAGACAAGTTTACGTTGTAAATATATAGACAATTCTGCTCAGATTATAATACACCTTGAATGACTCAGATTGATCTCTTCTTGCTTTACTGCGCGTTACGCACTTACATCTGAGCGATACATCAGTTATATCTTCCTCGGCGATAAGGCAAGGCAATTTCGTGTTAAAGTCGACGATGCTACTAGACACACAATTGCGAAAGATTTGCTAGGAAATTTTTCCTAATTTTTATTAGTTTTTAAAAGGATGTATATTCTGTGTTCAGGAGACATTACCTGATGGAGAACGATTCCTGCTCCCTCTTGGCTGGTCAACGACCGTTTGATCGCTCACGCGGTCTTCTCTGTGAATAAATTAACGTGGCATCACAATGCAATAGTGAATATTCCCGTGATTTTGAATAAAATAACTTAATTATTTATGTGGCGATGCTGCAAATGAGATCATAGAAAATATAGCAAGTTGCGCCGCGTATGCCACACACGCTCCGGATTTAAACTTTCCATTAAAAAGAACAAAGATTATTTTCTCAATTTTGTATTCAGCCACGTAAAATCACTGTATTTCATTAATGCAATAATCGTGAATCAAATCAAGCGATCAAATACAATTTCAACAGAAGATAGTGCATGTTCCTTAACAGTTTACCGATGGAAAATCGTTCCTATAAAACTAGCTTCCATCATTTCAATATCCCTCTACTGCCGCGAATAAGAAATTATAAACAATGCGCTTTCGATTAATAATCCCCGCACTTCTCATGTACCAAAAATTTGGCTTTTCGAAACCCCAGTCATTTGTGCTTTTTTGGTTTTCTCCACAGAAGTAAGTCAGGGAATATCCATAGTGAAAAGTTAGAACAAATTAAATATGGAAATATTATGTTCCCCCATATGTGTATAAGTTATACTATAATGTTTCCACATATGTGTATAAGTTATACTATTATGTTCCCACATCTGTGTTTAAATATTCAAGTCATTTATCCTGGCTGGTGATGGCAATCAACTACTGAAGGCGTGGGCAGAAATGAGCACCTGCTGCTGCGGTCCCTCCTGTCGATGGAGGGCGCGGGGCTGCGCTCTGCCGGCCGTAGGGCGGCCGCGGTCTCCGAGGTGCCGCCGTCGTTATCTTCTACAGCGTATTTGTTGTACAGCACCGATACCTGGTCCTCGCCCTGTGCACACAGTGAGGTGTGAACTCACGTACAGCGTAATGATGGAACCTCGTGATGAATTCTGATAGAAACTTTAGTGTGAATTATATATATTAGTGGTTTAATAATCTCCAGTTTTTTTTATACTATTTGAAATAACTTGCAACTGTGAGTAAAAATTGAATGGGCGATTGTACGTTGAACTTAATCGAAACCAAGAATTATCTTTAGCCAAATGGTGACATTTGAAAAAAGGTTTTAATTTGAATTCACGTCTGTAAATTGTTTAATTTACAAATAAATAATTTAGATTTAGTGCACTCACTTCTCTGTCGAGGGATAGTCTGGACGTGTGGCTGTCCCTGCCGCCCTTGCCACCCCTGAGGTCCGGAGCCCGACGCTCCCTCGACCCCGTCCGAGAGACGCGTCCCGAGGGGCGGTCTTCATCGAACTCAGCGCGACCCGATCTGTGGGGTCAAATTTAACCATGAAATTCATTAGATTCTGTTACCGATTTATTCGCTTGATTCATCTGACAGCGTTCTGCTTTACTTCATGCGAAGCTCAATTCATAAGTGCGTAAAAAATTAATTCGTGTTCAAAAATGAAAACTCTTATTAATGCTTACGCGAAAAAACAGTGCAAGGTTCAAGGAGAATAAGTAAGCCATGATTTTCCAGTCATTAGTCAGAAGTGCGTTTATTGTACCCTAATCCCACCCTTTATTTCCATAGCAAGCCGATTACGACTTACTTATGAGGGGATATTGTGGGTAAGTAAAGGGAAGTAAAACAAGTTATTTCTTAAATAAATCTTGGGTGCCGCCGGTAGCTTGGTTTCACGAGAACCAAGGCCGCGACCAACACTAGCAGAGCCGCATTATAACGGATTTATAATTTAATTTTTGAATATGTTTGAATTTATTTTACAATCTATGGGAGAAAAATTTAATGAGATGAATTTATTTCAAAATATTTTGCCCCATAATCGTTAGTATTGGGGAGAAGAGAGCGAGGAGATTACAGGAGAGGAGTGTGAGGAGGTTGGAGGAGAGTATTTTGTAACTTATTGAAATATAATTCTTGTGTTGGTTCCGGTAATAACAGCTGTAGTGCAGTCACACCACAGGTCGTTGCCTTGAATTTGTATGCTCCAAGGTTTTGTGTGCTCTCTGCTTTTCAATTTGTGTGCTCTCTGCTTTTAAAATAGATATAATCGGTAACAATTCTTAAAACAATAGACAAGGAAGCTGGAGCAGCTGAACGAGCACGTGTCTTGTTGACATACCGTGACCAAAACAAAACGAACGCTTGTAAAAATAACGTTACGAATAACGGAGCTATGTTGCTTCGCGATGCGGGATCCCGATTAAAATTTACCCTGTAGCTTTCTAAAAATCTGACATTATTCCCGTTCTCGTTCTCGCAAATCTTCAACAATTTTTATCAATTGATTCGAAGTGAGAAACTCATTTTGTATCTATAGTAATCAATATGCTTTGAAATTATTGATTCGTTCTCGGATCTCGAATTTTATCTCGGACATTTTGCGTTTGTCAGTCGAATTTTGCTTCGAATCAGATTTGGTTTGGTCTGAACAGTGCGGAGAGTTGTCTACATAGTATCATTATTTCCTTTATCGCTCTCTTATTGGAACCCAAAATCCTTTATGTACTCGTAATTAAAAATATTGCCAACTTTTATGTTGTATACGGATTATTGCTGCGCTCTTCCTGCAGCATGAACGCTTCAAATAATCAAGACGTTCCCTATGTATATTCCCTTTCAATAATCCCAAATTTTAACAAAACCGGAACATGATGAACGAAGTGAAGAGTATATATTTTTTCAAAGATGCACGCTTTTGTTCAAATTAAAGCAGACTTTTGTCGGCCGAGAACACAATGAGCGAGCGAAAGAACGCGACGTTCACAAAGCATCAGATTATGCAAGATACCGCGTGACACCGACAAGACAAAGCGGTATGGCGACAACTCAAAAAAAGGTCCATGGATGGTGACAGCTGCACACAAATTCCTTCATTGATTCCGTACAATGCGGTGGATGTTTTGTGAGAAAAAGAACAAGCTAAGGGAAATCGCAGCTCCGAATGGAAATGGGACAAGCTGAAGACTGGAGGAATTCGTGAAACACATCGCGGAATACCATAGCCGGCCTACCGAGACGTTAGCTTTTCGTTCTCGCACTTAATTCTTGCGTCTCGGATACATTTACCGTCGTCAATGCTATTCGTACCTAGTGGCTTGAGACCGAGAAGTCCCGTCATTTACGGAAGTTCACAGCTAGCACGGTTAAAAATCGGTTATAGTCTCGTAATTCAGCTCATATAGTTACGTTATTATGAGTTAATAGCGATATGCACTACTGGTCGGTAACAAAATAGAGTGGCTTACACTAACATAGCAGAGATAGCTCGAAGCACATTTCTTGTATGAATTCTAATCAACAATTTTGACGGGGACGTACTGTTCAGGACAGCTATCATATACTGATAGTGTGTAGATGATATATTCCAGATGATATATATAGATGGCGACTATTCCAGATGATATATATAGATGGCGACAGCCTTGCTTTCTTTGATTTACGGGGATACATAAAACCACTCATATTCTCAGAACTGATGAATCAGTAAGTATATTGATCGGACATTTACTAGCGCTCTAGGTTAGCAATGAGAAAGCAAAAAGCGGAGGTTCTGTCATTAGAATTTAAATCAGCAAGATTTGAATTTAAGCCAAAGGGCCTTCATACTCAATTTCATCCAAAAAATTCGGATTATGTACTGTGAGTTTTTTTATGACGTACTTACAAATTTTATTCACATTAGAGAAATACTCAACTGTTGGTATCGCACCAGCTACATGCTCTTCGGCTCATTGACGAGGAAAGCTTCAATAAATCCTACGTGTTTGAGCACTCAGCTGCATAGCCTCACCAAGGCTCACCGGTACTCAGGGTCGGGGTAAGTGGGGTCGTACTGGTGAGGGTTATAGTTGTGAGGGTCGTGGTGGTGGGGTTCGTACTCGCGGGGGTGGTACTGGTGGGGCTCGTATTCCCGGGGGTCTGTAGAACGCTCAGAGCCGCGCCCTGACCGACGCAGAGACGACGGCCGCGCTCGAGGAGGACCCATGTTGCTGTGGTGGCTGCTGCTGCTCCACCGGAAATACAAGGAAAATTAGAATCTCTGTTTTGATTGAGACAAAATTTCAGGAAGCAGTGGACCTAAGCTACAAAAAACTAATTAAATCAGACTATTGCGTTTGCATTCCTGCGTGCATTGTTAGGCAAACTTGATTGTGGATGTTTTTTTTTCAAAACACAAATCGAAATAATGGAAGCAAGCATTTACTTAAAAAAATACAAGTTTTACCTTCTTGAGAGCCTCGAGGAGCTCTTGGTTCGTCGCCGTTTCTTAGGCCGCTTGGTGCAGGCGTAGCAACAGACCTTCCAGTAGAGGAACCTGAAGGAGTGCGCCATGCCATCCCCTATGTTAGCGAGGCACAGCATCATCAACGGCACCCCGGGAATGGCGTAGAATATCGTCACCACCTTCCCCCACGGCGTCTTGGGTGCAATGTGGCCATAACCTGTAGATATAGTTCATGTATTCATGCGGCGGATCACATTCGTATTCTGCTTAGTCTCCTGGGAGCAATGTGACGATATAACGGGTCGATACAATTCATGTACACTGTTAGAAAAATTACCGTTAACGGTATTACCGGCGTTTCAGTGGCCGGTCGGCACGTGAAAAGAAACACCGTGTCGTTGTTTTTATTCTAATTTTACACTAGAAATCCGTAAAACATCTGATAAAAACGGCAAAATTGTTTATTTTGCCGGCCACTAGAATGCCAGTGGGACAGTTTTTTCACCGTTTTTTCTAACAGTGTACCGACAGAGCACGTACTGTATGTGATCAGCCGCATAATCACACACGTGCTCTGTTTAGTCTCATTACCGCAATGGGACGATATAACATGTCGATACAGTTCAGCCCAGTGGTTACAGCTCCAGAATACCAGGATTGGACCAGAGATGTGAGGGTCCGATCTCAGCTCTGAGCCAGTTTCTAGTACGAAAAGGCGAGAAGGCTGGGCGGTTAAGTACAGCAAAATTGAAGGAGTGAGTTGTGTGTCCGAGACCGCAACAAGCCGCGAATTTCTGCGATGTTATGAATGGGCGACAGGCCTACGGCCTAAGAAACACTGAAACCACTATTATTATTTTTTTATTGTTATTATTATGTGTTCATGAGGCAGATCACATACGTGCATTGCCCAGTCTCCATGATGCAATGTGACAATAACCTTTCGATACGTCGATACAGCTCTGTACTAAACTACTTAAATTATACTTATGCAAAATAATTGCCTGTAGGCATGAATGGCCATTAAAGCTTTTGACTTAACCTCAGTAAATGGAGCCTTTATTCCGTCACAAAATTCATACAGTCCGCTGACATAATGAAGTATATACGGAAAAAAACTCGAAGTGAAGCAACCGCAACTGAGAGCTGAACAAAGTGCAAGCAATTGATTCCTCAATTTTTTCTCATATTGCGCGATTCCAGCTTAGTTGAAGGTTTGTTCGCCTCGCACATTTAGTCTTGTAGCGGCGCGCGTTCGGGCAGGTGGTGGAGTGGATTAACAACGATTACGAGGCTTCTAGATCAATTACAGCGACCAACGCTTTGATGTACGGCTGTACAATTTGTACGGCTTTGAAGAGATGATTTCATGTACAGCTCTTGCACGAGTTCCAAAACTTAGAAAAGAGAAATATTCAGAAACACTCTATGCCGGTAATTCATGATTTGAGGGAAGTCTTACAAGAAAGATTCAAGGGATGATTCAGTTTGACATTAAACAATAAAATTGATCAATAGAGATAAGATAGGTACATTACTTGATGAACTATTAAATGTGTGAATGATTAAAGTGACTATTTAAACAAGGTACTTTTAAGTACCCGTTTTATTGCCGCCAATTAATATAACTACTGGTAAAAATTATTAGCATTTCTTGCATTTTGTTTAAAATTTAAATACAGTAATATTCAGTGCAAATTTTATGACTGGGCGCATGGGACCGGTAGGGCGGCGTGTCTTCAGTTTCAATTCATTGTCAGTTCTTACGCTCTGCGCAAACATTTCTATGTAAAGAACTCTTAACTAAGAATGGGTCTTACCCCTAAAGTGTTCGCATGTCACAGCTTAAAAAACACTGTTCACGTTAAAGCAGATAAAAGGTCGGACAGAAACCAAGCATTAGTGAAGCTAACTACAGTTTTCCACGGAAGTTATCTTAACAGTCACTGGCAATCAAGATGATGTCACTTTGCATAACAAAGTTAAAATCGCGATTATTATCTTGGGGTCACTGGCAAGCAAGATGATCTAATCTTAGAAAAATAAAGTTAACATCGTGAATATTCCGTAATATTCAATATTTAACAGACGTAATGGTCGAATATACGGACAAGGAGACAAGGAAACGGTGCAGAAGCAATTAGGATTTTCTTCCGATATTTTGTACTTTGTATACAATAAAAATATAAAAAAGCTTCGATAAAATCAAACCTAAAACCGGTGTATACAATAAACTGCTAACAAGAATATAAATCAAACATTTCCAGGACAAATATTAATTACTTCTCATTGCCTTTTATGAATTTTGTCAAGATAATCAAAATTGAAGTTTCTAGCTCGAACTAAATTGTTTCTTATTTCCAGTAATTATTTCGTTGTGGTGCTAATATTACTAGAAAGAGCCACAATAAAAACCTTTGTAGTAATAGCTCAATAATTTCACAAGCATAATCCAATTGCGCATAATCCAACAGTAGGCGGTTTTTCTTTGCATAATACCAGAAAGTATAACGCGGTCTGATCACATATACTGAGATGACGGGTGATGGCAGGACTACGGCACTTCTGGTGCTTATTGTGTTCATCACATCGACGCGCAGCCACCGTTCAGGAAAAGGCGTAAGTTTCCTACTTATTAGTTAATGACAGCTAGCATGCAATGACCTTAGAGCGGTAAAATGATAATAATTACTTTATTTAGGTTAGAGAAGGCAATATCTAAACCCCTTCCTTGCACGAGGTTTCCGCTCGCTTGCTCACCAGAAAGTGGCTAGTCATCTTCAGGGTCTCTGGTGTAAAACGCGTTCATCACTTGTAACCAGAGCGTGAAATCATGGGAGATATCACCTTGCATCTTTCATGATACTTCAGATGATACGTAAATAACTTTAGAACGTTCAGCAATACGCAAACTGTTATTAATAGATTTCTAAGACTTGATTACATCGGTAAGGTATCGTTAAGAAATTTATCCTATTTAATTTTATACCCAAAAGTAGGAGGACCACTCATTGAAATTGATAGTCAGCTATGCGTGGACTGCCTATGAAATGATTGAATATATTTGCAATGTGTGCTTGATCTTGCTAAACCGTAATTGAAAAATTCAATAGATTTATATTTTTGCGATTGAAAAGCTATTAAATAGATTCTGAACGAAAGGAAGTATTACACTGATGCCAATAGTATATAACGAAGTGTGGATTAGGCAATCACCTGCATAGGCTATTCTAAAGAGCAAAAATTCGACGTCACATATTACTCGACTGAATTTTTTAAGTGTAGGATGGAACTTAATGAAGGGCGCCTGAAAGAAAAAGTGTAATATTTACAATATTGCTGAATCAGAAATTATCAGCTTCTTAGCGTGTTGTTTTGGTGTCGATCACGTGGAAGATGATAGAAACAGAGTGAATATCAACTGATTTTGGCAAAGGCTGCGCGCACAACCTAAAACTGCCATGCAAATTATTAACTGACGATGAAAGCTTATTCCTGATTATTCTGATCAGAATAAAAATCAAAAATGGCCATGTGACACTGAACGAGTGTTGGTTGAGTATCACGGATAAAATATATGCGTCTAACGCCGAACGAGTGTTGGTAGAGCCCAACGTACGAATTTTGCTGAGCCTACAGCCTTCGGAATTAGTATTCAGTTGCAAGGTCACGTAAGATGTTGATGGGTAACATTAGAGCGTCACTAATTCATCCTCATTCACATGTAAGATGCTAGCTTGTAACAATTGAGCGTGGACAAATCACGCACATTCATGAACTTCGTTCCGGCCATTGTTGCTTTGCTCCAGAAATTGCATTTACAGCACGTGCCTGCAGGCTACAAATTATGAAGGCAGAGCTACTACTTTCATTTGTGTACAATAATTTAAATGGATTTAAAAGCAGGAATTATGCAATGAATTGCATTATTCCTGGTAACGGATAGACGGCATTGTTAATTTTGTTCGCCATTTTCTGCGTGTTCGGCATTTTCTGCGTATAAGTTCGGTTGTTTTCAAGATTTGCATGTAGGAACTGAGTAGAAAATTTTGAATTTAAGTTGTAATAAGTGAATGCTTCGATACTCGCAACAGACAATCAGACTGTGCCTCCTTTTTAGCGCATTTTCTCATTTATGGAAAAAAGGCGCTATTGTGCTCGTCATGTCCGTTCGTGACCACGTTTTCGTCGACTAGAAAATGCGCTCTCTGTCACACACTGCAGTGAGTACTGAGTTATATTTTTTAAAGATTTGTCCATCCATGAAAAGTTCGTGAACGAGCAGATCGTCCTCCAAAAATATTAACCAGACAACACTATTTAGTAATTCATGCAATAATGAAGAGAAACCAACGAAGGAATGAACTTAATTTCATTAACCCTATTTTTACTCAAGATGCAGTCTCTATATGATCACGAGAATTAATTTGATTCTTTTTCGTCACGCTTCATCTGCCTGAGCTGTGATGAAGCAAGAATTGGGACCTCCACGTACTGCCCGAGGTCTCAATGACCACTGGCGTTCCCTATAATTATTCGACTATTGACTGTTCTTATTATTTATAGGTTCCCATGCATGGCACGCACAATAGTATGAATGTTGATGAAGAGCCGGTAGCCGTGCGGATTATCTTCCCTTGTATTACTCTTTGAACTTCTGTCCCATTTGGTCATTTTGGTCAAGAATTCAAGAGAAGTATTGTGCAGGAGTAGCAGTTCGGACATAACACAGGCTGTAGTTCACATAACTTACAGTAAACGTAGCAGCGCTAGAAATTACCAATAGCTGTAGTTCACATAAGTTACAGTATACGTAGAAGCGCTAGAAATTAACATGATTACCTGCCGGGACAAGCGTGCAGTCAGCGGCATTTTATTGCCGTGTGTCAAGGCTCCCGTAGTGCACGATATCGAGCAGGGTACTAACGCAGTGCATAGTACGGTAGTGTACAGAGCAGGGTACTAAAGCAGTGCATAGTACGGCAGTGTGCAGAGCAGGGTGCTAACATGGTGCATAGTACGGCAGTGTGCAGATCAGGGTGCTAACATGGTGCATAGTACGGTAGTGTGCAGAGCAGGGTACTAACGTGTTGTAAAGTAATGTCCAGAGCAGCATCGATGCAGAGTAGAGAAGAGTAGAATTGGCAGGCTGCAGAGTAGACTCAAGTCTGACGTTAAGGGGCCATAACGTTAGGTGCACCAACGATACCGAGCGACTTAAACAAACTATGCCATAAAAAGCTTGCGACGTTTGCCATGTGGCAGCTATGAGACGGCCTGATCAGCCGTATTACGAGGCAGACTTATTTGCTCAACAAATTACGAGCAGAGATTGCAGGCGCGATGATCTCGCGACAGCGGCATGCGCCTGTTCTTCGAGTTCCACGGGCAATGACAAGAGTGTTCTAGATTAAATGAATGGCTGACTTTGTTGATAAATAAGAAAATTTAATCCTACTGAAACAAAAGAATTAAAACAGCAAGTCCTCGGTCATTTTCAATTAATCTTAATTTTTTCGCTCGACCGTTCAAGACGTGATCTCGCCACAGCGCCTTTGTTGTTTAGGTATCGCAGAGCACGCGCAAATTATCAGCGACATTTTCGTAGGCAAACTAAAAAAAATCTTGATTTAATATAGCAAAAATAAATGAGAGATAGTGAAAACAGTAAAAACTTTAATATTTTCACAAAGTTTAAATTGTTTTTATGAAATTTGAATCAAATACTTGACATTAGTCCTGTTGTGGTAGGGCGAGTGTAGTAACGAAGTCATTCAGTAGAGGAACTATCTTATTAGTGAACTTGAGATAGCATGAATAATTACTATCTAATAATGATAATAATCACTTGAATAATTATTATTAGGGAACTTGAGACAGTATTTGCACTTAATTAAAGTAATTAAAGCATAAGGTGAACCTCAGCAGACTTTGTTCTTGCTGGGTAGGCGGTGCAAGTGAGAGTGCAGGTCACCGCTGCTCCGCGACGCGTCATGCTCGACGGTCCCAGCACGAGAATACCTTGCGCTGCTTTAAGCCAAAACTATAACCAAAAAAATAGGATGAATGGGCATTTGCTTTAATTAAATCTTGTAAATAAGTGAGGAATTCCGTATAGAATCATTTCATGCCTCTCGTTTGTAATGAAATGCTGCGCCTCATCTTTCCCCGTCAAGTAGTAGTAGATTATTTTCTTTGACAATATAACGAAGATTTCCCTTTAAACTCGATGTAAAATTCTAGCTTATTACAAGTATTTAAGATGCGTAAAAATATAACCACATAAACCAGGAATTAAATCTTCAATTTTACTCGTGGCGTAATCTCAAATACCGCCGAGGAGGTTGGGGGACGGTCGATGAATGAGGCAGCGAGAAATTTATCAAAATAATGCTCGAAATTGATTGATAGGTATTGTTGTGGCACAGAGTTAGCAATGTTCATAAATGTATGACATTATTTTACATGCTCAATGTTTCCAATAACGGATTCTACTGTGCCAGTGGACAGTGATGGCCCCAATGACAGGCTTTCTTCTGCGCTTGATCAAGCAATTATATAGGGACTTTTTAGACCTGCAGTTTTTCTTCAGAAACTGTCGGCTGGCATTTTTGAATTATATTCTTTAATTATTTATTTAGAATTTAAATTTGTCCTCTATAGTTTGCAGTCGCGATATTTCACAAGCTTTCTATTAGCATGCAGTGAGGAAACAAAACTTCGAAAGTGGTTTCACTTTCGAAGATTTTAAAACTTATTCGGACAATCATTGACAGTAAAAAAATTAATAGAGCAATAATTTAGTTTAGAGACAAACGTCAAATGATCTCCTAGCTATACAATTTAAAATGAATTAATTGTATAGGAATAGGTGAGCTATTTTCACAGACAGACATACTCCTCACATGCACTGCTTGGTTACGTCAAATCAGTGAGACCCAATTCCAGGTGACTCATTTCGAGGACCTCCGAAATCAACGTAACTTGCTGAACTCAAGCAATGAATATCACTTTGGCCAAAGAGAATTATCGTATAAACATCCATGTACTTTGCGCCGCACAAGCGGGCGTGAATGCAGCGTATCTATGAAGCATAAATGCTTTTTGTTCCAGAAACCGGACGCACTGGTTGAGATGGTCCCCGGCATTGATGAAAAGGTCTTCGGAAAACTTGCTCTCTACAAAAAAGATGGAGGAGTCTTTATTGAAGGTATGTGGAAAAAATTTTTATTATGAAATATAGTTATATCTATTATTATTGGGATTATGAATCGCGATAAATAAGTGCCTGAAAGCAGCTAAAAATGAACATAAAACATAAAAAAATTGTGACTGGGAAGTGAGTTAATCTTTGCTAACCCAGAGAAAAACACAGATAACAACATTATTTTCAAAAATATCCTCACGAGATTTACTATATGTATTTACACCTGAAAACATAACGAAAACTCTGGTGTCAAACACAAGGCAGTCCGCTTGCTACTAGCGAAACTGCATCGCGCGGATGTCGTCATTCAAAATTTCACACTCAGACAAACGACTTTAGAATAAAATAGAATAGAAGTGTCGGCACTGAAGAAATAGGCCCATGGCCTGTTGCCGATTCTTGAACTTTTCGTGACTTGATTCACAAGGGATCCGGCCTTTGGAACCCGATCTTTCCATAGCTGACGATTGATTGAGATAGCTGCTGGACTTATTGCCTGGTCCGTAATTTGCTAGGCATTTTAAGACTGAACATATGCTCCTGCATAGCTTCGTCTAGTCTGTTTTTGAAGGCGTTCATACTCGGAGCGTCAACGATGCTTTGATTGTATCCAATAGACACCATGCAACTGACAATACGTAAAGCAAAAGAAATGGTTTCACTTCACTTGGCCCGTCTCTACCAAATCTCAACCAGCCCACCGTGCAGCAAGGTAATTGGCTCGCTCTCACAGAGTCCAATATTCGGCGCGGAGTGGAGCTATCGAGGTTCTAGACGCGGGTAACGTTATTCTCCTGGTCATTTGCTGATTTCTTTTACAAATTAAATCTTTAAGAGGAGAAGAACTGTTCTAGTTAATTTTTTTTATTTAAAAAAATCTTCAAACGTTGATTAATGCTTCCGGTCACATTTGAAAATATCAGATAACATGGAGAACAAACATGAACATCGCTAGTCTTAACTAAGGTGCAAGAGAAGGCGGCCACCCACGAAAATCTTACATTGACCTGTGAAAAAATTACCTTCTATGCAGACTGCGGCTCAAGATTCAACGTATTTTGATGAGCGTTGACTCACATCGTCACCACATTTGATGTTATAGGAGAACACATGCAGGATAATTCGACAGAAATTGGCGGCCTTGGCCCATGAGCGTGAGTAACGGCCGAGTAACCAAATGAGTAAATGGCATGATTGATGAGTCAGTTTATTCGTTTCGTCATACTATGCATATGTTGTGCCAAGAAATTATTCATTAAGAAACCTTCACATGGGATTTTATTTTAGTTGAAATTGAAAATATCTTTTACTGTTGCTGAATACTCAAGGATCACGCGTCCTGATCAGGAAAAATCTGTTAATATACACAAACAAAATTATCACCTGCTGCATAACCTTGCGTAACTGCGTAGCTCTCTTTAACTAGATCCTGCTCTGCTTGTCCATTTTACCTTATCAATCATAATGAAGCAAGTTCCTCACATCAAGTTTTTTCCGTGCATGGCTGCAGGTCAACTTTCTGCTTGTCATGCACGTCTGTCAACGGAACTTCATATGTACGCTGGAAAGAGCAATTCTATTGCAAGCAAAGCCATTTTAATATAAAGCGATCTGGTAACAATAAAATGCAAGTTCCATGCATGCGTTATACGTACTTCCCATTTATAGACGCCATATGGCACCAAGTGTGCGTACGAACTCATTAACTTCACATTGATTGCGAGACCACAAATATCTTATCACTAATATTCCGTTATGCAATAGTTACACTGATGATTCAACATTATTGGCCAACACCGAAAGCATTGTCCACAAAATAGTCTGACAACAGACCCCAAACGTTTCTTCTCCCGAGCTGCGCCGGCAGCAGCGATGTGTGACATTGACACGTGTAGAACTGAGTTCGACACAGTCTATGAAATTGAGTCACACGAATTGCGCTGGAAAATTAAAACAGAACCACAACACCGTGTTGGACCAGGCGGCCATTCACTCGGGGAGAAACGAACATGTCAAGGTTGATAATATGTACATTCAAAAGCACTTTGAGTCACGGCAGCTCGTGGCGTTGATAGTGCATGAATTGTATCAATTTGTTACAGAATATTTCTTTTCCGAATCCACATAGATAACTCGCTAGCTTAGTAGCATAAATAACGAAATGTTGTTCAAGTGCATCGCCCGATACATAAACGAAAAGTTGAGTTCCACAAGTCTAAACCATAACAAACAAGGGATTTTTCGAAGAAATCAACGTATTACAAAAAGTATCAAGTGTTTAATTTACCAAGTAGTCAAACCTATCAACGAATGAAATAATATGTGTTTAAAAATTACATTCAGAAGTGTTGTCTTTAAAAAGTAATTTTTACAACACTTCTGTTAAACTTCACTTCTTGTTTGTGTGCCTGTCTGCTAAAAATCTTATTATCGATTTTTAACGCACTTCTACCTCTCCAATCGATCTGAAATTTTGCACACTTGCGTAAAGTCGAAGACAATGCATGAATCAGTTGACAGAATAAATAATTTTGAAAATTCAAAAAAAAAATATAATAAAAAATGAAAAAAATTATGTCTGCTACATAACTTATAATCGATATTTATCGCACTTCTACCTGTCCAATCGATCTGAAATTTTGCACACATGCGTGAAGTCGGAAACAATGCATGTATCAATTGACAGAAAAAATAATTTTGAAAATTTTTAATTATTTTGATTTAAAGACAACACTTCTAAAGAATCCAGTGTCTCCGGTGTTACACATGTACAATGAATTTCTAATTTTAGTATGAAATATAAAAAAATAATAATTTTTTGATTTTATTTTTTCTGTCAATTGATACATGCATTGTCTCCGACTTTACGCAAGTGTGCAAAATTTCAGATCGATTGGACAGGTAGAAGTGCGTCAAAAATCGATTATAAGATTTGTAGCAGACAGACAAACAAACAACAAGAAGTGAAATTAAAGAGAAGTGTTGTAAAAATGGCGTAGCTTAGCGATGTTATATATAAGTAGTGGTTCGAATTCATAACTCGCACTATCATTTCTTGTGAACGTCAATTATAATTGTCAACTTTAAAAAAATCCCCAAACTCGCTGAACACCATTTTTGTAGCTTCATGTAACCTTGTTAGCTAAAATTCAACTATTTTCTTCGATGTTCACTATTATTCATTTTACCTTAATAATTCTAATAAAGCAAGTTCCTCACATTAAGTTTTTTCCGATAATAAATCGCAAATATTATCAATTTTCAAGCATGAAAAATATTCGTCTACGATCTTGATGACAAAAATTCAGTTGACGACATAAATACTTATATGTTCTAATAGGATCATTCAAAAGTAGTGAATTCTCTTTAGAGTGCGCCAGCGGGCAACATTAGCCAGTCTTGCTCTAACGTCATGTACTAGCATGTCATGGTGGTGTGAAAACTGCAAGGAGCGTTAGTCGGCACCGTTATTCTTTAATCCATCAATAAACATATCGAACCTTCATATTGTTTACCCAAACCTACATAATACATATTTACACCTAGTAATTACGAGAAACACGGCCGTTTATAACTTCTAAATCCAATCTTAACTCTTCAGCCACTCTCTTTCTTCAAATAATACTGTCTGTGAACCATTCGTGTGAATTTGCTGTAATTAATTTGATTTAAGGGTCTTATTATATATTTCGTTGCTGGCACTGCAAAAATGTAGGATAATATTTTAAATGTGAAACTCGCTGGCCTCAGAGTTCCGGTGTTCGTGAGTAGACTCTTGTATCTATACGTCGAAGATATTCGCGTTCTTCCGGTTCCTGCTCGCGATAAATGGCGTCTCTGAAGGAAATATTGGCGAATGCGTGACACGCGAACTCGAAGGCTGCATTCCGTCGCGGGATTTATCAGCTTACGTGATTACATAAAATATTTATTAGCTCGCGTGATTTACATTACATTTTTGACAGCTCAATTACACGGGTCTGGGATTCTAATATGTTGAAGATTAGTTATTCTACGAAGTTGCAATTATTCGACGCTCGTTTAAGGTCTGATAGTGGTGCGGTGATAAGTTCATCACCAAGTTTAATTGTGAAGAAATAGTATCATTGCACTAGATAAGCACAATCTTCACATATTTATGAAGAATAATCTCCGCATATAACGATAAGCATTATTCACACATAATGATATTTAATATACACTCAGAACATAATTCAGGAAGTTCAGGGTCAACTTTCAATACGGAGAATGAAAACTTGAATACGAAAATCATGTTCGTAGTGATCCACGGCATTGGATCCTTCTAATCCACGGCATTGTATTTAGTTCATTGCCAATATCTTCATGTTGAGAGACCCTCATCTTTTTCATGCGCTAAATTCAACCTCATAAATTGGAAGCAGTTATTCAGAACATCGAGAAAGATAATACGTGGAAAGTTATTTTCTATTAGAATTACCATGAACTTGACGGCCACTGCGTATAATGATGGATAGAACTAACGACTTGGATGAAAGTGACTCATCGAAAATGTCACGTTGACCTCAATTTTGATGTATTGAACTCTTCCGTAAATTTTAAACTAAACCGCAATGCGGCGGCAAATGACACGTTAGCACTCGAGGTCAAGGTTGCGATATAATCAAACGGCAAAGTGCTCAAGTATAATTTGTAAATATTTGTGTTCATGTATAATTCCCAACTGCACATGAAGTTGTCAAAAATATTAATTTTTTTTTCAAAGACATTTTGCTGGAAATTAGTTCAATGAAAAATCTAGCATTTTATGCGTGCAACTGGAGATGACAATGCATGTTGTGCGCAGGCGTCATCCACAACATGAAGCCAGGGCTGCACGGCTTCCACGTACACGAGAAGGGACTGCTGGGCAACAAATGTATGGACGCCGGCGAACACTTCAACCCCCTCAAGGTAAACGATTCTGTATGCTACATTTGTATGAAGATTTCAGAACCGTGTTATTTTACATGCAAAACATGGAACAATAATATAAACAATTGTTCGAGAACTTAAGATAAAATAATGTCAAAACCAAGGCAGGATAGACTGACAAGACGGCAAAATTAAAGGCGGAAGTTTATTTTCTTACGGCAATCTTTTGCATCAACTTAGCAGACGCAGTTTAATCTGTTTGTTCGCGAGCTTTTACTGAAATTCTTCTCTTTAAGACAATCACGCTAATGGAATTAATGAATTTGCAGCGCTATTGCAGGATCGTAATTTACCGCAGCATTGCGACCACTTGCTTGCGGCGTTGGAAAAAAGATCTAACCGCGCGCGATGACACAATACGCTCTCTCACTTCTATATATTTTATAGGCGGTAAGCGAAGGCTTAACACGCTCGCTCACTCACTTACTCTTTAAACAGAAGTGGAGGCTTAACACCTCTCTCACTCACTTACTCTTTAAACAGAAGTGGAGGCTTAACACGCTCTCTCACTCACTTACTCTTCAAACAGAAGTGGAGGCTTAACACGCTCTCTCGCTCTCTTACTCTTTAAACAGAAGTGGAGGCTTTACACGCTCTCTCGCTCCCTTACTCTTTAAACAGAAGTGGAGTCTTAACACGCTTTCTCGCTCCCTTACTCTTTAAACAGAAGTGGAGGCTTAATACGCTCTCTCACTCTCATTCTCTGTAAAGAGTAAATGGAGGCATAATGCGCTTTCTCCTTCCTTTACTCTGTAAATAATAAGTGGAGGTTTAATACGCTCTCTCACTCTAATACTCTGCGAACGGTTAGTAGAGGCTTAATACGTTCTCTCTCTCCCATCATCAGTAAATAGTGGACAGAATCCTGATGCATGCCAATGCAAGATAAAATTATTTTAGATCAAATTATACTGTACAGGAATCTATATTAGAGTGAGTAACGATACAACAACCTTTTAAGAGCATTCTTACGATGAAACACTTGACAACGACACGGGTAAATATGATTTATTTATTGACACAAATTACGATGTTCATCGCAAACTTTAAATGTACACAATTTTTGTAAGAAAAATTAATTAGTTCCTTTAAAAATGGCAAGTCTCACAAATTGACTGGGAAAAGCTAATAATGCATATGAATTATGATAATAATGTTCAGCTCTGTTACTCTTCACGACGCGCCATAACTCAACCGGCCCTGAGAAGTGCCTGAAAAATTATCTCCACACATAAAACTGTCAAGAGATACAAATCTCTCCTTCATCGCTAATAAGTCGCAATAAATTGCGGCTAGAATCGTGGCGGTATCGTCTCGATCAGTGCAATATTTAGTCGTCAGTGGCAGCACCGCAGTCCGCACAAAACATGAAGCGCGAGGCCGCGTAAATTTGAACAAGATTGGTTGTGCGAGGCATGAAGCTGTCGTGCCAAGCGATAAAAAGTGTCGCCTCATTCATAAACGTCTTCGCGGGAAATGCATCGTGGCATGAGAAGATGCATAAGAAATGAGCGTCGCGTTGGCCTGTGCATAAGTACGATGATGGAGAGCGAGTCATGCGCACAGATATATTACAAGGGGCTCTCAAGTTGAGCTATACGCTCAGGTATATTACAGAGGCTCTCAGAACGTCAATGATGTTTACTCTCACAACCGCTGGGCTCAGCACAGCTCATTACGTTCGTCCTGTCGCCCACTACACCTCGAGAGCTGTTTGCTCAGCATCATTAGATATGCTACTAGTCTTGGCAGAGCAGCAGAGTCAGTAGTCTGTGCAGTATTGATATTTGTCAGCATGGGATTCAAATCAATATCATCAGATTGGACAGTTTCCAGTTAGTACAAAGTAAAGAGAGGCAAATGTTTTGAACTCTAGCCGCTCATAATTAAAAATAATCAGTGAATCAGGAAAACCAGCTACAGTAAACTACATGTTCAAATGTCTATCGAGCATCATTAGTATTACTACATTAAAGTGTTCAATACATTTATTAAATAACCCCAATTTTTATCAATAGAACGGTAGAGAAAATTATTTTGGCATGGACTGAAAATAGAAAAAATCGCATTATCTTGCCACTGAATGGTCATTAATGAATTCTTTCTACATGCAATTGATTTTCGCCACCCAGGCAGACGCGTCCTATCTATCCACAGTGTAAACAACCGATGACAGTTGCACTGGTGGCAGTTCTCATGCATTAGCTCACTCAACACAAATTTATTGATTTATCAAAAAAGGGGGCGAAAATTTTCATTTCCACACAAAGACAAGTGAAGTAAATATGCGTGACGTCAATATCATCACTCAACAATAGACTTGAATTGAATTGCGTTGAATACATGTTATATAACGTTATAAAAACGACAGACGCGAACTGTACTAAACATTCTAAACACATGTTATTGCTATAAAATGTAAATAAAGACTTCATGAAGTTGGGTTCAATTTTGACATAGAATGACTGCCCAAGTAGTTTCACAAATTCGGGTATAACCATTGGAGTTAACGAAATGAACGAGGGTTTATTCTTCTTTTCTGTTCTAGTAAGCCGCAAATTAAAATAGAAACATCTGTACTTGATAAGTTTGCAGACACAAGCGGCATCTATAAGCTTACTCTGGAGGCATGCATTCTCTAACGCTATCGATTACATTCGTCGTGGGTTATGTCAGTTACCTGGTAAGATCGTTCGACAATCCTTATTAGTTATGTTAATTAATTAATTATGCTCCCACCCCGAGGCAAGTAAAATCAAAGTAACCTTATGACCGTATGATGAGTTTAGGACTTCTCAGTCCACGGTCACGCTGATGCGCCGCCTTCGTCGTCCACCTTCTCCAACTCCAAGTCGTTGATAGGCAAGTCGCTCCATCCTCGGGTCGCGGGAGTAACGTTGAACGTGCTCCGTTTATCTGCTCTCCTCTGAGCCAGCTGATGCAAGATGCTGTTGCTTGAACTGGACGATCCGGAATCTTTCTCAAAAACTTATCCAGTCGTCTCTTGAATGCCGCAGGGGTGAACCATCATCCTCTCAGCCCTTTTGACAAGTCATTAAACAGCCTCGGTCCTACCTCGGACAGTGATCCCTACGAAGAGTCCGTACTCTGTCTGCGGCTCGGTTATTAAAAGGGGGGAATCCTGCGCAGCCTCCCCCTCCTTTCGTTGTAATATGTCACTATTTTGGAGGTCTCACTTTCAAAGTTGGGACCCAGTCCGGTAATCATCTTCCAAGTGTACAGTATGATATATCTCTCTCTTCTCCTTTGTAGTGAATACAGTCCCAGGTGTTTCAACCTACCCCAGTAGTTCAGCCGCAGCTCCCTAATATCGCTGATCTTGGACGTGAAGGTACGCTGGGCTGACTCCAGTTTCCGCGAGGCGCCCGCCTTGAGTGGCGACCAAAGCTGGCAGCAGTACTCAAGATTGGGGAGCACGAGGGCTCTGAAGAGTGTAATCATTGGTGCTGCTTCTCTCGTTCGAAATGTCCACCAGATCCACCCCATCCGTTGTCTGCCTCGCACAACTGTTTCCTCAATGTGATCACGGAACCACATCTTCGGTATTCATGCATCAACACTCCGAGATCTCAAACAAATTGCTTCTCCTTAATTTCTGTGCCATCCGATACCAAGAAGTACTGTGGCATCCCGGTGATCTCTGTGCAGACTCTATATCTCATTACTTCGAACTTGAGGCCATTGAATTGCATATTATTCACTTGGGCCCAATCGTATATTGTCGCTAAGTCATCTTGAAACCTCTAGCAGTCTATGTCATCTGTGATCCTCATCAGCACTCTTCTATCGTCCACAAATGACGATGTGGATGCGTGTGTAAGCTCCGAGTCGATGTCGGTCCAAAAACCGAGCCCTGTGGCACTTCGCTTTTCACCTTCGTTTTTCTCGATTTCGAATTTCCAATTGCAACGGCTAATTGTACTCTATTTGTAAGGAAGTTGTGTATCCACCCCAACAGGCTTCCTCCTACCCCCAACAGCCTCAGCTTTCAAAAGATCACCCCATGGTCAACTTTGTAAAAAGCTTCGGCAAAGTCTAGGTATACTACGTCCACGCCAGCTCCCGCCTCCAGTAGGCCACAAGGCGGTGATGGTGCTTCAGTAACTGTGACAAACAGAAACGATTTCGACGGAAACCATGTTGTCCGTTATTATACAGTTCAGCCACATAGGTCTGTAATTTAGGTCACAGGTCTGTAATTTAGGTCACAGGTCTGTAATTTTGGGGTCTGTCCCTTGGACCTTTTTTGTGAATTGGCGTTATCAGTCCCACTTTGAGGCCCTTAGTAATAATTCCCTCCATCATTGAGGAGCCTTCACTGTTACAACCACTATCCAGAACACAATAATAAAGATGTGACACCACACGATACAAAACTTACAATAGCGATGGGGACCCTAACGTGAAATAGAAATAGTCATAATAAACTGATCATTCAACAATGGATAATTCTTATTTATTATAAACTATAATAAAATTTCTTTGATACGAGAAGCTTCCACTAATCAACATACATCCACGACGGTCTGAGCTACACGTATTGGCGTGCTGCTGCTCGTGGCCCACATCACCACGTTTTGTTAGAAATATTCATGGGAGCTATGGGAAACTCCATTGAATGTAGTTCTTTACTTATTAAGAATTTATTTTACGGATAAGTGTCAATAACTTTTTCTTATCTTGTGATTCTCGTACATGCATAATCTTAGAAATACGGAAATTTGCGACATAAAATTTTTTTTAATGAAGCGCATCAAAAGGGCACCGCATGCTCGGAGGTAACGAGAGATTTTCAGATTTCGACAACAAATAATCATTTCTGTTATTGAAAACATTTCCTGAGCGTCCCAGCAGGGAGATGTTGGCAGCTGTAAATGCTGCGACCGAAGCCACAGACAAGTTTGTGTGGCAGTGACCAAGTCGCATCGGCAAAGTTTATTCTAATCGTGCACCTTCAAAGTGACGGAAGACTTGAACATTATAGTGGTGCCAAGAGGCTATCTCCTTCCTACATGCATGATAGCCGTGAAGCGGGAGCGCGAGACTAACAAGTTTTTGTTTGTACAACATGAGAGTGTTTACGAAGTGGGAAGAGTGTGCACCGAGTGAAGTAGCTTGACTGATGGGAGTTAGTTTTGTTCACCGGATGGGCTTTTTTTTAACTTTTGGCTCAGGAATGAGCACATGATGCCGTCGAATATATTTTAATTCATTTAAAGCTAACAGTACGGAGGAATATTGGAACGAGAAGTTTGGCCTCTCACAGAATATGATGTTTTTGATAGATAACTGTATCTTAAAGACAATCTTATGATCATTATTTGAATATTCTTAGGACGGTAAATATCATCGATTTATATTATACTTCATAGCTAGTTAGCACCGTTACTCATATACCGTCGTTGTCACAACCTATCAAAAATGAACATAATTTTGTTGAAAATAGTTGTATGATGTCAGATAAGAGTTGTCTGTTGAAGAACTCCCACACGCCGGTATGGAAATAATTAATTATAACAATAATACTAATTGATAATTGCGATAATTGAAGACAGGGGACAGTTCTTCAAAACAATTTTATGTCAAACGCATTCTAGGAATGCAGCTTGACCAGCCGTATAAAACACAACCTGACCAGCCGTATGCAACACAATCTGACCAGCAGTACGCAACACAACCTGACCAGCTCCAGCCGTATGAAACACAACCTGACCAGCCGTACGCAACACAACCTGACCAGCCGTATGAAACACAACCTGACCAGCCGTATGAAACACAACCTAACTAGCCGTATACAATTCAACGTGACCGATCTGACCGGCCGTATAAAAAAAATTCTAGTAGTGCACAACACAATATAACCAACCGTCTACACCACAACCTGAAGCAGTTACTCGCGGGAGGCACTCTGGGAGGCACACGTGAAATATAGTCATCCGATTGACAACAATTGTATCGAGCAAATTAGGATTAAAATGTCTAAAATAATCATGAATTCTCTTATAAGTTCCTTAGTGTATTCAAAATTGTCTTTAAATTAAATCGTACGCATGTGTTTGTGGCAGAAAGTTCACGCCGGGCCCAAAGACCTTCATCGACATGCTGGAGATCTCGGTAACGTCTACGCCGACAAGAACGGCGTTGCCAAGATCAGCATCTTTGATGGTCACATCTCGCTGCATCCTCATGACAAGGTAGACCCACACTTTTATACTTCTTGATCTCTGCTCAAATATAGTCAATATTTCATAGACACGATAATACGGTTTATTGAACTTATAAATTTCGTTGATTTTACTTATTCCAGATAATTTACACAACCGTAAAAATCTGTACCGAAAAGTAGATCTGAGTTAAACTTTTTAATTTTGTTTCTACTATTTGCAGACCTACATTGGCAAGCGAAGCTTCGTTGTGCACAAGAAGCCCGACGACCTGGGTCGTGGAGGTGATGACGAGAGCTTGAGGACGGGCAACGCCGGAGGACGACTTTCCTGCGGCATCGTCATCCAACTCGGCCACAGCCTCAAGGAGCCTCCGCCCGTCTATCACCCTCACGACGGCTCCGGCAAGTCAGGTTTCGGACATGGTCATGGACATGGCGGTGGTCATGGACATGGCAGGAAAGGACATGGACATGGCAGGAAAGGACATGGTCATAGCGGATACGGAGGAGGAGGTAGCGGTCACCATGAAGACCACCACGGAGAAGGTATCGACAGTGATAAGAACAAAGAAAACGATCAAAAGGAAGACGATTTCGGAGGGTTTGACGATTACGATTATGACTTCGGAAACGATAAAGCGTTCGGGCATTCAGGAAGTTCCCACCATGACAGCCATTCTGAGCATCCCAACAGGGAGGAGGATCACGATGGCTACAGTTCTTCTAATGACTTCCACCACCAACACTCTGACCCATTCGATGACCTGAGCAGCTTTGGGTCTTCTCACTCGGTCCACAGTTTGCCGGCACCCGTGAAGCATCACGGATACGGAGGTCATCATTACTCGCGCTTTGTTGGTTTCTCGCAGCACCCTCTGCACTTATGGTAGCGTCCATATGTCGGGGCAGGCTTAGGCAAAATGCGTTTTGCGGCTATTTAGGCTGGTAGGATGTAAACTTCAAAGTAGGGCAGCCTGTAGCGCAGTCTCTTGAATAAGGCGATGAGGTTGCTTATAAATCTGCAATCTCTCGATTGATCAAGATTATCTCGCGTCAACGATTAACAAGGATTTAATTACGTATAACATTCGACAGCAATAAATACCGGAATACGTCAATATTGGCTGAGGAAAACATGAAGGATAATGTCATTTTAGAAACGTCTGCTTGCTCACATAACGTTAAAATCCATTTCAAATGAATGGAGAATTACTAGAAACGGGAAAAGTATTCAACAGTTCAAAAGGCAGCAAAACATTTTTTTTCTGAACTATTTCGGTTTTAATACAGAGAATCGTCTGTGCGAATAATTTAGTAACCTCAAAAACGTTTCAGATAGATGCTATTGACGCCAAAAATAATTAATAAAATTAAGCGATAATAATAAAAAGCGTTCCCCAAAAAATTCTGTTAAAAACTAGAGATTCAACTCAAATATAAAAAAATTAGAATTATGCAGTAGATTTATTAATTAATTTCGTTACCGTAAAAGCTGGTGTTCTGTATGTTGTTTAAAAATTTTTCCTGTATGTATATAGCATTAGCATCATCTATAAATTATTTATAACATGAATATTTGTCATCCATAAATTATTATCGAGTCATCTTGCCTAGCATTTTTTCCCCAACGTAAACAAAATCCCTGCCAAACAGCTTTAACACAATTTAGAAATGACTTACCACGAAGCATGTTTGAGGTCACGTTTATCGGCAAAGTACCTGTACTTCCTTAGATCAATCAAGCTCAAGCTGAAGATATAAAGAAATATTCAAAAATTTTCTACGATGACTTGAAGTTCTTTTGCATTTTGGCATTACAATAATTCTGTGCTATTTGGCATCACAATAATTTTGTGTCATTTTCAGATAGTTTAATAAAAAGCCTGAGCACATGGAGGATGATATTACTTCTAGGTCAGAGCTGTCAAAGCTCAACAAAGTGGATGCGGCAGGCGCCGACTGTCAAAAATTTATTTAAGAGTAAAAAAATTATTTAAGAGTTCGGTACTCTGCCAGTCAATCACTGACGACTTTTCAAGCTAAACCAATAAATCACTGACGGGAAATCGGTCGCTGCGCGTACTTATGCTGCTACGTGCACAGAAAATAAGGCCATATAGGAATGATACGTTAACTTTCATAACTTAGCTTCGCATACATGAGAGCTTCATTCGCTGTAAATCATGTTTGATTTTATATTTAATTCACCCGAACATTCAGCAGGTGTCACATCAGCGTAACTTTCGATGGTCATTTAATAACTGCTTAACGAAAATCTTTTGAGCTGCAAGCACGTAGCTCCGTGGCTGTGGCTCCCGTACCAGGGACAGAGAGGTGCAAATGAGACCAAAAGGATCCCTAATAAGCTTTTGCGGAAATAATATTGAAGACATCGAAACTCTTTCGTTACAAAAAGCTGTGGTGAACGGATAATATTTGTGATGAAATAAAATGGATGACATCTAAGTAAAGGCTACGCTGACTCACCTATGGTGGTTATGAGAATGATGGAGTAAAAGAGGGCACCCGCAAAAGTCCATTGCTTGGGTTCGTTGGACTCGACGCCGTCCCAGCCATCTTGTTTAATTGCTTTAACTAAACTTTTCTCGAAGTCTTTAAGAGTTTCCCGCGCCTTCTCGCTCCACTCGAGCTCCTCGAGCATGTGCATGTCGTTGGTGATGTCCCAAAGACGGTCGGTCACCTGTGGTGTACGAAAAATAACATGGGTATTACTTTAGATAAATAACATGAAAATCCAATTATCTCGAGGTAAATATTATAATTGGGATGAAAAACCTTAATTACGGATGAATGGAAATTATCTAGTAGAAATAGCTACAAGGAATTGCTGATGATTTTACCGACGTATGAGCATAGGCTCCGGTGATGACACGGTAAAGAGCTGAGGTGTGTTCGTGTCAGGGTTGGGGGGACCACTCATTAACACTGCCAAAAAAGGAGAAAATATCTGTCTACAATCCCAAATAAAATTATTGTAATTCATATCTATTCATTCAAATCGTATATTATTGCGTCAGAAATGAGTGTGAGTAAATAAAAAAATGGTTCAGAATTTCACGTAATATACTCTAAATTGTGCCACACAGACGTGCCCGTACGTCTACAGCCCGGCCTGACAAGACACAAAAGATTGCTTCTTACTTTGGGAGTTGTCACGTCGTGAAGCTCATTAGAGCTTCGTCATCAACGTCGCTCGGGCAAAACTTTACCGAGCCTGGCTAAAATTAATTCATTATTTTTTAGAATACTTTGAGATACTGTACTGATACGTCATAACAGTGTGGATCATTTCTATGATCTGGTAAAAGGCTTTTTATTCATTAGTCCGATATCGAAGGTTCACTAAGAATTTAAAAGCAAACGAAAATTATAGTTAATTCATAATATCTGTTTCTGGAACGTTTTGAGATGTTTAGAGCAGCTCAAAAAATTTATCGAATACTAGTACAATCAATAAAGAAAAGCCAATGACCTCATTGAATGATACAAGTATACGCATGGTTTATACAAGCTTCACGACGGATGACTAGAAATTGAAACAAGAACCAACACCAGGGGCCACGGCTATAAACTAAAAAACTGCGTTGTAACACATCCTTGAGACAACATTTCTTCTCGCTTCGAATCACTGACATGTGCAGCCTCCCTGATAGCATCGTTGACGCTCCGAGTATGAACGCGTTCAAGAACAGACTAGATAAAGCTATGGAAAAATATTTGTTGAGACTTGAAATGCCTAGCACCATATCGAACCTGGTGGAAGTCTAGTAGCTAATTCAAACTATCATCAGTTCTGAAAATATCCGGACCAAGTACCTGTTTCAGATCTCCTGCAGTGAACATGTCACGAAAATTACAAGTATCGGCGACAAGCCACTTCGGTCCTTTTCTTTAGCGCCGACATCACTGTAATATGATATGCTAAATATACAGGAAATGGATTTAGACGCAGAACGTAGAATATGGAAATAGATTAACAATTTCAATTTCTATGACCTGTATGAATTGTTAAGGCAAAGTTTCCGTCTAAATATATGCAGAGATCGGGAAATCATTCAATCTGAATCACCAGAAGTGTAACCATCTTAAAATTGCTCCCCGACGCGGTCTCGTCGCACTGCTCAGCGCGAAGTATTCGTCAACCGGGATATAGAAGTTACGCAACGTCATTCCGACCTACGCTGATGCGCACCGTCCACCAATGTATTTAAAAACCTGGAATAACATCCTTTTACTCGGACCAGTGAGCAATACTGGTCCTTATACCCGGGCCAGGGAGAAATACTGGTCCTTATTACAGGGACCAGGGAGCAATACTGGTCCTTATACCCGGACCAGGGAGCAATACTGCATGGTCCTTATACCCGTACCAGGGAGCAATACTGGTCCTTATTACCCGGACCAGGGAGCAATACTGGTCCTTATACCCGGACCATGGAGCAATACTGAAATTATTATTCACGTCGCATAACTCGGAATTTTTCAGACGAAAGCCTATAATGGTTGAACTATAGTTCAACCATGCGGAAACCATTCCTTTCAGAAGCGATGAAGCAGTTGTTTGTTGCCGTCGTACGCCCGAGTCTAGAGTTTGGAAACGTTGTGTGGTCACCGAGATTCGAAAAGGACAGAAATTTAAAAGAGAATGTTCAAAGACGTGCTGCAACTTCTCCACGCGACAAAATTTCTTCTCGCTTCGAATCACCGACATGTGGAACAGCCTCCCCGATGACATCGTTGACGCTCCAAGTATGAACGAGTTCAAGAACAGACTAGATAAAGCTATGGAAAAATATATGTTCAGATTTGAAATGCCTAACACCATATCGAACCCGGTGGAAGTAGAGTAGCTATTTCAAACTTTCGTCAGTCATGAAAAAAACGGTCAAATGACACGATTTTAGATCTTCTGTGAACAAGGCACGAAAAGGAAAAGAATCGGCGACAGGCCACATCGGCCTACGCTGCAGCGCCGAGATCACAATGTTATGTTATGTTGTGAAAAGACTAAGTTGCTATGATTGTCACTGGTTTGTCTTCGTCAGGATACCTACCATATTGCTTATTAGTTGACACAGGATACTATATATATTATTAGTTAGCCAGGATACCATATTATTAGCTATTAGGATACCATATTGTCTATTATTAGCCCAGTCCTAGCTTGTCCAAGACTGTCCGGGACAGTTCTCACTGACCTTTTCGCGAACACTCGACATGTTTTTCTTGACGAGAACTTCATGTTGAGCCTCGAGTTTGGCGAAGGTGAGGGCGCCGACGATGGTGTATCCCACGACCAGCGACACCAGTCCTATGTGACTCAAAAGGAACTTGAGGATGTTCTTCAAGTAAGAGCCGCAGGTGCCGCAGCTTCCGGAACTTTCGCGCATGGTCTCCGATTATCGGACAAGCCGGGGTAAGCGCGACAAGGGTCAACAACCCAACACACTTCGCAATAGCGGAAGAACTTACGACCTACATAAAAACTTGAACCTTTTCTAAAAATTAAATTACTAACGATGAACCCATTACATAATATCGGAATAACACACGACATATGCACAAACTCAATACCTTTCAATAGTTGAACGAACCAACGACATCGCACCATAAGAAACTCAATGTGGATCCGTCACTTTACTGCTTGTAGAGAAGAAAGATGTGTCCTATATTCTGAACTTGGTTTACGAAACAAGTGAGGTTAGATCGCAAGTCGATAGATAGGTTTCACTTCGTCCTACAGGCGAAAACGCAAACTCTGATTTCAGTGGGATCATTTATCTTCACTTTTTCACAATCCTGTAAGTCGTATTTCAATGACGATTTATACTTAGGAATCAGAAACAAGCAAGTACAATCTACTTATTCGCACTTAAAGTAAATAACTGTATACCTATTCTCTAACTGGCTAGTTATTTTTTCAACACCATCAAATTCCGGCTAATTCCGGCAGAAATAAGCCATGGGCCTATTTCTTCAATGCCGACACTTCTATTCTATTCCACTGAAAATTCAAATTTTCGGAACAGTATCAACATTGTCAAACTAACAAAGCCTTCTCGTTCTTGCATCAAGATTTTGTCGTTTTAGAGCCACGATTTTTTATTAGATATCTATGATATACCCATTTGCCATTTATTTAGCATATTAGAGTCCATATTTCTTTTACAGGATGAATTTCAAGCCCACATCAATAGGTTCATTAACTTCACGCAGAAATCAAGACGCGCTGTCACCATGAATTATTGATGTCCATTATTGAGCATTCTTATATTAATATCCGAACTCGAGGCAATAATATGAACTTGTTGGTCTCTTTCAGTAACACGGCAAGTAGAGAGCAAAGCACGGCACTTCGTTGGCGCTCCGTTGGCATACTGCGGTACAGGGCACTCAGCGGTCGAGTCTTCTTGGCAACCACAAGTGTATTTTATAGCATTAACGCTCTTCACGCGTTCGCCTTAGCGATGGACTGAGCAGGAACCTCATTATTTATTGTCGCGCGTACACGAGTGGGCGCCAGACGTGAGCGCACGTTTTTCAAGCCTCGACTGACCGTTCGTCAAGTCACTTTTTTCGGAAACTGTACTAGAATTCAGTTCGGGCGGCAAAGTTTTCAACGAAAAACGATAATCTTAGATAATAAATACCGTAATACACACAAGTTTTTGCATTGCCGGCGGATTCTGAAGGGCTGATTGGCACTGGTTGGCAAGAGCTCAGGTTTCCCTAAACTCGTCAAAGTCCGCCTTTTATTAGCATCAGTGGTCGAGATCGATCTTACTTACATCACACCGAAACTTGTATCTGCGGTAGGTACAAACCTCAAACATATTGTTCATCGGTTAACTGCGCGGATTTGATATGATTATTAAATTTCAAACAAGGGAGGTCTTCCTTCAGCAACATACTAGTTCGAAGCTATACTAGCATGAATCGTGATCCATATATATATATATGCGAACTTCCTTTTGGTAGAGGAACATTTTAATTCCGCCTAATAGGTTGTGTCTGTTTACAGTTTAACTTAGTAGAAGGCTACAACTCAAGCCAGATCATCCGCCAAAAATGATTGAAGGCTAAAAACAAACGAGAAGAGCAGCCCTTGGCGTGCGCTGACAATGGAAATAAGCAGTAATTCAGTCGAGTCGTTCAGCAATTTATTACAATAACCGTCATCGTCCTGAGTGCCCAACGCAGAATGTCTCAGGCTCGACTAAATACAGCAATGCTGGTCTATCGAAAATCTAACAACGCGCAATAAAAAATCTAAGCCTCTACTACGTATAAAAAATTATGAAGAAAATTGCTTATGAATATATAGTGGCTACATTTCTTACATAATTAATCATGAACTAAAACCATTCACTTTGGGACGTTCCCAGAATAAATAGCGAGAAATAAAGGCGAGGAGTCGGCAGTTTATTGTTCTCATTCTCGCAATTCATTATTCCATTTGTACATATAGAGAAAATGCGAAATGCTATGTCAGAACAGGGCCATACTTGGATAGAAATAAACTAATATCAGTTGGAAATCTAATTGACCTCGTAGCCTGTGAGGTGCTGAACCTTTGCACATAGCAACAATAACTGCATGAAGAGATGCGATGCTTCAAGTAACAACAATTCACCCTTGAATTGATGAGGAAAGAAGCCCACTGAGATGCTATACTTCTTAGCCGCCGTACTGAGTTTGATAGAAATACTGTCAGGTTTCAATAGCGCTCAGCCTGCTTAATGAGTGAACATAACGCAAAATTCATTCTTTCTTAAGTAGTTATTAATACCTATAGGTCTGTAAAGCTATAGAAAAACTGACGCGTCACAAGCCACAAGGCCGTCGTAAGAATTTTGGTTTGTGTTGCAGAAGCCGAAAGAATGCCCAACAGGAAAGATAACAGCGAGGTTTTATAACTATACCCGCAGAGCGACCCCCTATAAGCTATGATAATACATTAAAAAATTGATTATTTGCTAACAATGGTCGCTTGTTTGCATGCAATCGCAAGTTTGTGTTACGTCCCTATCATAATCGGAGGTTGATAACATTTTAAGCTTAAAATGAACTTGCCAAGAATCGTAATTCAATCCACTTAAGTCGGTACTCGTGCCTAACTAATACTAATCTTTTTCACCGACGTTGCAGTTTAAACTCTAATCATAGATCCAAATGTCCTGACATTTATTGCACTTTTCTCTGGCAGTTGGTAGAATTATCTTAATAATCTCACTTACAATACTACACGCAGTATTGATTTTAGAGCCGTCGCTTCGTGTCGAAGCCTGCACGTAAACATAGCAATGCTTCTTATTAAGAAAGAACCCGAGTTCGACTCACTAACATCAATTCAACGACAATCACAACAATAAAAGGAAACAAAGATTTCGTACATACAACACACATTTTCTTCACCTGTTGTTTCAATCAAAATTAAATACTGGCAAATATAGTCAGTATATTTACACCCTGCGACGTGCCGATACCTCGGTTATTGACGGCTTCGCAAATTTTCAAGTGACGCCAAAATAAAATTCACTCTATTAAGAAAATAAAGTAAACCGAAATACGCAGCTTATGTGCATGCCCTAACAAACCATTATCAGTTCTATGTACGTAAGTACAACACAAAAGTTACTTCTGTGAAAAATATTTGTACCCTTCGCAGGAGCTTCAATTTGATGCTTCATGTGCACACCAAATGACTGTTCGCACAATTTAAATCGGACAGCGTTTCTCACCCTCATCATAGATATTAAAAAGTATAGTAGTAAATAATTGGTAAACTGAACCATGGCTTTGAGAAAAGAGCTGATATTAAGCATTGGGCAAAAGATACACGCAGCATACCTCCTTACGGGCCAAATGCAAGACCGTGTTATGTGATAACTTTAATCATTTCACCCAAATCAAAAACATAGTACAGATCTTTTATATTGTAGCGTAGTACAATATTAATCGGATTTAACATGCAAAAAAAAAATAATTCTGCTTACTCTGTTAATCGAGCAAGTGTTAAGAACTATTGACCAAGATGAGTTGCCCAATTCTTTAGTTTAATAAAAAGCAATTATTTGAGAGCACAACGTAGCTGAAAATAGGAAGTTGTAAGAAACAGCTCTAGACGAGCGAAATCGCAGTCTATGATGGAGTTCAAGCCGACCCTGATAGTGGAATTCAATTTTCTAGGGACCAGAACCTCTATGATACAACGAGAATAAAGGACAGATATGCGATAAAAAAACGGGAATGGTGGGCAGAGTACTAAAGAATATACAAAAATGTTATGACGTGGTTATTCCAAGCGTTAACGTTATGGTCAACGAGTAATTCTATCAATAACACCAATGAACGTAGGTAACCCAGCGGGAAGACGCGCTGGTGCATAACAGGCGATCGCTCACTTCGTGTACAACTGATGTCAGAAGCACGACTGATGTCAGAATAACAACTCGAGATTATCAACGCTTGCGCCCAAGAGTGGCTAGGCAATTTCAATTCCCTAAGTCCCACCAGTAAGCTTGTTCAGAAGCCCATGACCAGCCACAAATAGTACACAGGGTACCTACACTCCTCACCTCTGACCTCTCAAAGAAAATAGATAGCGAGTTAGGCTGCCCACTCAAAGCTGTCAAAAAATTAACACACTTAGCCTTACATCCATAACTGCACAGAAATCTATCGAGCTAATAAATCAAGAATCATTAGTGGAAAATTGTGGAAAAACCTGAAAATGTTTTTCTATGAAATAGTTTGGAATCAAGAAATTAGGACCAAAATGATGATTTTAATACTCTAGAAAATTTACCACATACACCGGTACTTGCGCACCATCTAAGTAGCATAAAACTACAAACGTAATAGTCATTCACTGCACTCATCACAATCACTGAAACACGACGCAATCATCATTCACTGCACTCATCACAATCACTGAAACACGACGCAATCATCAATCACTGCACTCATCACAATCACTGAAACACGACGCAATCATCATTCCCTGCACTCATCACATTCACTGAAACACGACGCAATCATCAATCAGAATAGTTTGGAATTGGCAACGCAATGCCACCCTGGCCAGAAGCGAGCAGAGCTAGCAGCAAGCCTCTTAAGCGAGCTAACAACTACGACAGAATATATTCCCAAAACGAGCATAATATCAGTATTTAAAGTCACTAAGTCGCGTCAAGATGTCATAGTAAGTTTTCCTATGTTAGAGACAATTGCTAGCGATCTGCATGTTGTCGCTAGTCGAGAGGCGTGGAGCTTTTTACACGATATCGCAGTCGGGGATTAGCTCCTTCCTAACACAACCGTGACAGAAGCGAAAAATTAATAGCTTTAAATAAAGATCAGTTTGTAATGAAGCTCGCATTCATGCATACAGTTGAATATTACACTGCGTTAAAATCTGAAGCAGAGTACACCGAGTACACTCGTGGAGTGCGCGCTCCAGAGTCACGGCACAAATGCTAGGGCATCACAGATATTTTATGGTACATTACACCGTACGTGAGTTGGCTCACACCTTAACGAATATCAGACGAGTAACCGCAAACAAACCACGAATATATTAACAATATTCATCTCAAGAAGAATCTTCCACATAACTTAACTTTGAATACTTAACACTAATAATCAAACATTTTGTGAATACAATGTATAACAAAAAATTGGAAGAGAATCGTACGGCAGCAACCGAAATTAACCACAACACGGGGGACCTCACAGAATTTTGTTATAGGTATAAGTTAGATCTCTTGCGTCATGCACAGTGGCTCGGAAACAACAGTAGAACAAACCAAAGTCCACAAACGATGGGAAGTGATTACTTGTTCATTTTCTTTGAAAAAAAGTAGGCAGCATTTAAATCTAGAGTCGATGTTTTTTTCAAGTAAAGAGTGTTAAATATAACGCACAGCGAGGCTCATCTCTACATTGCTCGCACGCACTATTACCTGTAATTATTTCATGATATTCCTCCATGGATTTGGCGTTATCCTGATATTGCAGAGTTGAGCTCGCTAGATCGCTAGATATAATTTTAAATCAAGCTTGCCATTGGCGGCTCTGAAGATTTTGCCTATGATTTAATATTTCACTGTTAAATTAAGTTCAGCGTGAATGTAAAAATACTACGTACATCGAATACAATACCCAGATGGTCAACATACTCAGAAATAGCGCTTGAGTGTGGGGAAGGAAGTTCGGAAACCTTTCTTTTTCCCAGTCTATTGACTAAGGCGCAGTGTTAGCCATTGTCCAGTCACCATTACCCAACACCCTCGTTAAGAGTTAGCTCCTCTCAATAATTAACACTGATCAGTGTTAGGATGGCTCAACATCGCAATCTGTTGCATATTCATTAAACGTATTTTCGCGGGACGACCGCCATTAACAATAAACACCATGGCTCCAGCCGCTCAGCATTTGCTCATCCGCGTGCAAGGCTTGCAGCTTCAGAAGGTCACTTGTGGCCGCCGGCCTGGTAATGCTGCGCTTGCTGTTGGTTAAGTAAGTGCTTGGGCGCATCCGCAAACATGTACTTGAGTTTGAAAGCCTCAGCCACAACAAGACTTATTTCACTGTCAGTCCAGTTGCTCGTTGGTAAATTCTGCAGTAGCAGCATCAGTCCCTGCAAGGCACGTAAATCAGTTTACTCTCACAAAAGTTGTTTGTCGATTTTCAAAACCTAGTTACCCTCGTTAATAATTTCTTGAATTAATTTTCGGAAAAATATTCTGGAAAACGAGTAATTTTGTTGGAATCTACAATCGTCATAAAGAGAATTCGGTAGCAATTTTCAGTAAATTTTTTCATACAAAATTCAAACAAGACATTTCCCCAAATTTTAATACTTTCAGAAGAGTGAAAAAAATACATTATTCATTGCAATGTTCGCCGAAAATGATGTTGCATTGTAATGCTCGCCGAAATTTAAATGTATGATGAAAATTGTCCATAGGGATTAGTGAAGCGTGAGTACCTGGAAGTCCTGCTGCTGCATGAGTCTGGGGGAGAAGTGTCTGAGGAAGGCAGCCGCGACGTACAGCAGGAAGTGGGAGAAGCCTTCTTGTTCCGCATGCAGAGTGTCCCACAGCCTGTAATTATAACCTTTTGCAATACAAACGATGACAAGGTGGTTACCCTTCAAAATCCTGCGGTGACCTTTATCTCATAGATTATATTCAAGCGTAGTTGACCAAATATTTAGATTATTTTTGTACACCTCGCATTTGCAATTGAGGCTCTGAACACATCTACGTTGCTAGCTACGGAAAAAACCGGCAATTGAAGCAATTTGAAACAATTCAAGGTAATTAAAAGCTTGACAACCAAAATGATTCGAGAACAAGTTATTAATTGAGAAACTACGTATTTGAAACTTGAACATAAAAATAACTTCGTATTGAACACGTCACGAGTCAAACGTATATAAATAATAATAATTTTAGCTTTCAAACTGAGGTACCTATTACTAAGACACAAGTGCAAGAGTCAACAGTAAAGACGAGACCAAGCATCATCAACGAGTACAACAACTGAAATGTGAGGCGCAACCAAGATTCTGTAAAAACCATCACATCGATTAGTTCAAATGTCTCATGCCCTCGTTACTCTGAGGAAAAAAGCCTCTGCCAACAGACGGCAGGAGAGGGAGTGCACACAAAAGAGGAGCCACGTTTGATGCCTACCTGACCCAGCCAACAGAGGGCAGGTGAGGAAATACAAAATAAGAGGAGCCACGTATGATGGCTACCTGACGGTGCAGCTGAGAGGAAGTTCTCTCATGAGGACGTTGTTGAACCAACGGAAGGAGAACTGCAGGTAATCGATGCCATGGCGCTCCAGGTGCCGGTGCAGGCCTTCTGCTCAACAAGCCATCATTTAAGTTGCTTCAAAAAAATACTGTGCATGCGTACTCTGCACCACGCGATAATTACATCACTGAAAACAAATAAGTATTAGTAGATTTTATGGTGATAAACCATTCCACATGAAAATTTCAAAGTAAAATAAAACGATTCATTGAAATAAACGTTTTCTTATTAAAATAATGACATAATATCACCAATATGTAATGCATGTAATCAATACGTAATATAAGCTCAATAGAGGTGGAAACAATTGGCAATGCAACGACTAACAATTATTTGCAAATATTTTAGAAGTGCCCAACATCATTCATACAATGAATTAAGTGAAACATGACTAGCGACAATACAGACCATCAATACGTGACACGAGCTCGCGCAGCTGTGTGACTCTGGTCTGTATGCCGGGCTGTGCGAATGTGTAGTTGTCTTGTATGCCGTCGAGCAGGCGACTCAAGCACCAGAAGCTGTCCGCCTCGACGCCCTCACACAGCGACCCTGACACTAAACTCACGTCGTATGTGTCCACCGCCTTGCCTGCCCAACCACACACAGCTCGTCTTCAATAATTTCAACATGACGACAAATGCGTGCTTAATTATGTACGTTCAGAAACTTTGGGAATATGGTCTAGAATGATTGGAAGATTAAATTTCAAGTGTTTTATTGTATTACGTAGCGCCTTGGGTGCGCTTCCCTCAAGGGGGTTGTCTGAGTGGCGCCTTAGTCCTTCAAATGGCCTTTAATTAACGCAACAATGACGACAGCAGAGGTTTCGTTTTTGTCCAAGCGACGAAAGCATCACTATGATCGTGTAGACAAATGTATCAATTATCTAGCATCACCTTTAAGGGTATATGTACTAACAATAAATTACGACCGCAATCCCTCTGGCCATACACGTCTAGAGTGTTCTTGGTGTCGCTGGTTTGAACATTTCACTGCTGTTTATGGCTTCTTAATATACATCTACGATCAAAATTCGACGATCAAAATTCGACTAATCTGATATGTGATACATCGAAGAGCACATCAGAGGCTTAATTTTAAGTGTTTTTATAAGGAAAACCCAGTCCGATCCCACGCCTCGTGCAAGCACAGAACTTGTCGTACCTGGTGGGATGACGTCGCTGAGGAAGACCACAAAGAACGGGATGACGAGATCATTGATGCCCTGCACGTATCCCGAGGCGGGGTGGCGGATGGCCCAGATGAACAGGATCCTCTCGAACATCTCCTGCACGACGGGCTGCTGCAGCAGGCTGATCAGCGGCGCCATACGCGGGATGTCCATGTGGATCTGCAACGCCATAAACAAAAATCAATCGCAAATAAAACTTTGAACGAACTTCTTCATTTAAAAACGTTTCTTGTAAAGTCATTCTCACTTAGTTAATAGAATGAAGTATAAATAATGCTCATAAAAATTAGCAATCTTCCGCAGTTTCTTAGAATATCTATGTTATTTTTCCCTGAGAAAACCATGAGACGGTTTCAGGTTCAAATTGAACTGATGAATTTTGCAACAAACTTAGCTTCATATATTGTACACCAAATATTTGCATACAAAAAAGCATAACAAAATTGAACTATACCGCCGCCAACGCATCTCGATAATGCCAAGGATAGGTATCGTAGATGGTATTCATCATCATGAGGTAATGAGGGGGTTTTGAATGATCAAAATAAATAATGATGTTATAAGCAGACGCGGCTAATTACAGCCATAATATATAATCACGAAATGGCTCAGCCATAATATATAGTAATCATGAAATGGCTATGTGAGAGCGGCCATGGGACCTGTCTGAAGGTGTCGCTGTGCTGGTCTTCATGCCGAGTGTGGTAATATTGCTTCACGAAGTTCCAATACTCCTTACGCTTCCTCTCCAGCGCCTCCTGACGCCGCTCAAAGTTGGCAGGAAGATAGCCCTGATAAATATAATATAATACTATAATAATAATATAATATTAATATAATATAATTAAAATACATGACAAGTCAGTGTACACCATAAATAAAAGAGCTATGATCCTAGGGATTGGAAGGAGAACTGCCACGTAATTTAAAAATGACAGTTACTCAGCTCGAACCGACGAGACAACTGGGATAACTGAAACAAGATAACCGAAAAAAAAAATTAAGTTGGTAGCTTAAAGACACGCAAGAGGAGAGTTAGGCATCACTAGAAGTGTGGCAGCCACGTTTTGGCACGCAGCTTAGGAGGGATGCCAGACCAAGATATCTCTGATACCATCAACTCACATTGAGGGCACGCCAGGTGTCGGCACGCAGCTTAGGAGGGATGCCAGACCAAGATATCTCTGATACCATCAACTTACGTTGAGGGCACGCCAGGTGTCGGCACGAAGCTTAGGAGGGATGCCAGACCAAGATAGTTTGCGGAGCTCGGCGACATCAGCGCTGCGGCTGCCATACAACACCTCCTCGAAGCGGTCCAGGCGGCCACTCTCACGCTCACGATCTGATAAACAAGAAGAGGATACAAGAACGAACATGGATGCATTGATGCAACAACTCCAGCTTATCAAATAGATTCAATCTGCAACAAGTCATTTCTATGAGCTATAAAACATTTTGAAGATATAATATGTGTCTATTTAGTTATTATTTTTCAGTAATGTAGAAATTAATAAATTGTTACTTGAAGGCAAGTAAAATTAGATACCTAGATTAGGTACCTTAATGCAGGCTCATGTCAGCAAGTTATGGCTAAATGAGTGGCTAAGTAAGCAAGCTGAATAGGGTTTGTAGCCAATCCATTGCGAAGCTTGTAAGCCTTGATATTTCCAACAGGAATGCAAGCCTCTAACAATTGTTCTGTTATGAGCAGAGTGGAATAAAGAAGTGGTTGGAAATATATAAGGAATTTTCTCACCAGGGTCATGAGTGAGCCTCTCTCTCAGGTTGTTATGCTGATGATGATTGCTGGGGAGCATCAAATGGGCAGGACTCAAAGTAGGACTCACAGTAGCTATAAATTTAAAACAAATAATTGTGTTATAAGTACTCAGAAATGAAGAGATATAACACTAGGTTACATATGCCATGATGATCAGAAAAAAAACTGACATAAGTCTTGCAAGTATCTTGGTTAAAGTAAATCCATCTTCACTAATAAACACATCAGGAACAACTGTTGCAAATAAAACTTGTGTGAATGAAGCAATAAAACTACAAGATTTCACACACCGTTGCCAGCTCTCAAACTTTTAGCAGACCCTGCAGGTTGAGGAAGATGCTTTCTATTGTCAAGAATGCCATCATTAAAGGGGCCGTAGATGCTGCCATCAGATACAGATCTGGTTTTTTGAGTGGACACAATAGGCGCTTGTCTCGAGTCTTGGTGGCCAGAGGAGACACTGTCAGCAGCAGATGTAGATTTGGTTGCAAGGGGAGGAGGAAGAAGTCCGGAGCGATGACGATCTATCACTTGTGAGGCAGCACAAGCAGACACGTGACTGGAAATTTTGCCATCTAGTGGAAAAAGTTGTAGAGTTAGTTGCAATGAATAATTGATGAAGGTTTGACATTGGGCTGTTTTCATGGTATTGCCTGTGTGACTACCTTATTTATACATAAATACTGAAAATCAGTTTCATTACAAAATTTATTCAACAAAAATTACTTCAAAATGGAAAAATGTATGTTGAGTCTTATGTTTCTTGATTTGATTGAATACCAAGTAATTGTATAGGTAGACTATAGAGCTTACCAGCAAGGCTGGTAAATTCATCATCCTCACACTCCCAGGCATCATTAACACTTTCCCAATAATTGCGGAAGCTGTCGGATGTTTGGCCAGAGCTGCGGGAGATGCCTGTACTGCTGCTGCGCTCCTTCTCAGGACTGCTCACCCTATGCAAGAATATAAATACCAATAAACAAGACCAGTAAACTTAATTACATATTATTACTAATATGAATAGGAAACAGTCTCAATTGTTTTAAATAGAATGTAAGTCTAAAACAACATACAAAATATTTACTATAAATATCGGTATATCATTGAATTAATCTGTGATGAATTTTACATCAAATATGTAATTCTAATTTAATGTTATGGCAAAATTTTTCTTTCTTGCATGGAACTCTGATTAAATAACTTTAATTACTTACTTTGACTTGCCAGGCTGTGCTAAAGGAGGATGCATTGCTCCATAAACAGCTCTGAAAAAAAGGACAATATCAAAAACAGTGCATTGCATTCTACTAATCTACTTGTTTTATTGTTTCAGGAGTCAACACATATGAAGGACAATTTAAATCACACTTGAGTTAGAGGGGAACAAAAAATGTTTTTACAATTCGAGGGAGGCCAATTTTCTTTATTCAATTACTGTATCAGATTAATAGATTTCAGTGCATAACCTAACCCAGTGAAAATTTACAGACAGTGCAGCTTCTGATTTGGATTACCAGAAGCTGGGTCAACTCTAAATTTAGTTAGGGAATTGAATAAGGCAATTGGCAATGTTTTGAGATTGTCACCTGTAAGAGAAGTCAGTAAATAAAATGAGCAGAGAATGAGTCAAGAGAATACAACTTACCTCCCAGGCACAAGTTTGTTGGATTTTTTCCAAAAGTTTTTGCCATTGTTAGAATCAACTGAATGCATTTTGTACCAAACAACTGTTGAACTAAAATTCAGGGCTAATTAACAAAAATATTTTCTATAGTAGGCAAATTTTAAATTAGCTAGAATTTGATGTATTGATCAATATAAATAGGAGAAAATCCATTCATGCATTTGGTTTATGAAAACTTGTATGGATTTTTGTTGGCTGAGAAAAAAAAGCATTAAATTACTGAATTTTCTGAACTTTGTGAATTTTGAAGTAGATCAGGAGTAAAAAATCAACTTGATTCTATTTTCTAAAAAATCACAATTCACAACTTGCCCAAGATGCAGACTAGTATGGAATATATCTACTTGGCGAGCCGCGACTGAATTTTTCGAGCCGTGGTTTTATGGATTTGCCAGCCGTGATTCCATTTCTACGAGCCGTGATTCTATTTCAC